TTCTCACTCTACTATATAGCACAGGAAAATTATTAACTTTTTAAAGCCTTGTAATTCGCTAATTACTTTTTATTGTTAAATTAATTTCTCGTTTTCTATTTAAATTGTTTATTCATTTTGATACATTTTTCTATATTTTACTGTACATATTACAAATTTGATATCGATAAAATAGTGCAGGAAATTAAGCATTCGTGTAGAATTCCTTATAGCACAGGAAAATCATTAGCTTTTTAACGGCAATTTCGCTAATTATAATTTTTTCGCACAATTAATCTCTCGCTTTTTGTATTCAAATTGTTTATTCGTTTTAATATATTTTTTTCTCCAAATCGATTCTTGTAAATGGAAATGCGTTGTTCGTTCAATTAAAAAAAATACATGCATATCGGTACGTACTTATTTCATTATATCGTCATTAAATTAAAAAAATATATAAAGGAATTACTTCCTATACTTTCATCAATTACCTGTCGGGCAAATGATCAATTAATTGGAAATAATATATGATCGTTTAAATTGCTCCTGGTGGAAATTAATCCATTATGGCCATTTTATCGATTAATTTTCGTGACATTAAATACCTGCCAAATTTTTTCTGGAATTTGACCGAACTATTAACAAACGCACAAAGAGCACTATTCAAGTTCGCTGTGTTTCTAAGGTCGCAATAGCCCGGGGAAATAATTGTCCGATATTTTCAATATTTGACCAGACTATAATTAACTGGGAAGATTTTTTAGTATTAAAAAGTCGAGATTTTTCGGGTTATAAATGAGTTTTGTCAGTACGAGATGTTAGCTTTCCTTTTTTTATAGATTTTACTGTACTATAATTCACTTACAGGCTATTGTTTTTGGCATTTTCCGATTTTTTCGAGATTTGACTGAACTATAAGTCGCTTAATGGCTTTGTTGGTTGTAACCAATCGTTGATTTTATTTTAAATAGCAAAATTGACCGTACTATAAGTCAATAACGGTGCAAAATACCTAAATTTTAGATGACATTTGCAATTTTCCGAATATTCGTTAATTTTACCGCCCTCTATCATAGTACAGGAAAATTAACAAGTTTTTAGGTACAATGTGTTCCTTAAATAGTCCATTAAAAGCTTATCTACTCCAATTTAATTAACCTCTTTTTTTGTGCATTGTAAATTTGGGAATTGGAATTTTCGCCGAATTCGACCGGACTATAACCCGCTCGCAATAGCCCGGGGAAATTAGCGGAATATCTGGCAAATTACTAGATGTTTACAAAACTGTCGTTTATCGATTTGAAGAAGTCGATTGACGTTATTGAAAATGTAATTTTCCGCGCATAAAATTCGCCAGTAAATATTAATTAGAGGTCTGTGCAGGAATTTCGGTGACGTTTTTTAATTGGTATATAATTGAGCTTTTAGCGCGACAAAATGGCCGCCGATTCGTCTTACAGGGGGACTTCGAAAAGTAGTCTATTATTCGCATTTTCTTTAAGAAGAAACTTATTCGAAGACCGGAAAATTATCTACAGGGTGGTCCGGTTTCGTAAGCATATTTTTTTTGAAGAAAACTAGTTATTCTTCGTCTTAGAACTAACGTCATGTAATTTAATTTAAATTTCTCGGCATCCTTGATGACGCGAGATATTCGAGATGAATAATTTTACAACCGCATCGAAAAATTTTTATACATACACAGGGTGTCCCAATAAACGCCCAATAATAAAAACATGCGGTTTTCTCAAATATGTTTTATTTTATTAGAAGTTATGTTAAAGTTATGCAGAAATTATTCATTAACAATACAGGGTGTTTTATCAAAACCTCCTCTTTTAAATTCACAGTAACCAAATTAATTTAAATGGAACATCCCGTATATACAGAGGTATTTTAAAAGATACACTCTTCTACTTTTCGAAAATATATTATTTGTAGATGTTATTTTACAAAAGAATATGTCCTATTTCATAAAATTTAGTTATTGTGAACTTAAAAGAGGGGTTTTTTTATGAAGTTATAATATTCAAAAAGTTATAGCAAAATAAAATACATCTATCAAAACCGCAGGTTTTTATCGTTAGTCGTTTAAAAAATATTGGCTCATTAAAGGGGCTACTTTTTATTGGGACACCCTGTATTTATAATTAAGTTTGTCGTAAAAAAAATCCGCCGAGCGGGCACTTAAGGAACTTTTAATTCGATCCGGGTCTTCGTCAATTCGATTAGAAACACCAAAAAAATTATATTGAATAAATTATTAATTTGTAATAATTAATCAATTTACCAGGATCCTTCAATTGTATACCGAATAGAATCATTTCTACTCGAATAAATCAATAAATTAGATTAAATTACTCACCACAAAAAAAAAAATCGACGATCGAAGGCGTCTTCTCGTCGGCGTCTCGACGCCCACTTAAACCGTCTTCAATTCAATTTTTCCTATCGATTTATCGATCGATTATCGTCGAGCTAAAACCGGCGATTGTTTTAAAACAACTATTATAACCAGCGGTATTTTTTCTTCTCTCTCTCAAAATATATATTTATCACCGACGGACAAAGGTACAAGGTTGGTAATATCCATTACGCATTTTCCCCGGAATCCGCCCAGCACCGGCAACACCGCCTTCTTTTACCCTAAGCCTATCTTCGAGTTTACCCAGATGTTCTGACAAATCGGGAGATTCGGCAACGTCGCGGCGATTTCCCTGATTTAGGGAGAGACTTGGCAACGTGCGGAGGAAATGCCAATGTAAATAAACTAATTGACAGGAGGAAGCCTTGTAATTCGCTAATTACTTTTTACTATAAGCATTCCTGTAGAATTCCTGCTTATAGCACAGGAACATCATTAGCCAATTTTAAAGCCAATTTCGGGAGATATCGGCAACGTTGCGGTGATCGGTTTTCGGGCGGTTTCTCCCCTGATGTGGGGAGAAACTTGGCAACGTGCGGATGTAAATTAATTAATTGACAGGAGTTAATTAGCGACAAGGAAGGTTGATTTAAGTGCGTTTAATTATATTTTCGTGTAAATCGGTGAAAAATGTTTTATCGTCGGCTGTAATAAATAAATAAATAACGATTTTTATAGTTGTCTTCGATATTTATATGTTGATTGATTTATTGGTCAGTTTTAATAGTTCGGGTGATTAAATGATTTGTTTGTATCGTATGTACCGGTTTTTGGCGAATTTGACCGGGCTATTACTCGATTTTAACAGTCCGGGAGAATTTTTTTTCCGATTTACCGTAGGATTTTGATTTAACTGATCATTAATAACAGTTCATATAGACTTTTTTTTATTAACTACTAGATATATAAGTAAATATTTGCATAATTTTCAACTCTACCGGAAGATTTTAATATAAAACGAATATTTTTTAAGCCACAATTGAGTTATAATGGCAAAAAAAAAAATGTTAACTTTATAAACATACGTAATCGTCATCATTAACGCCACCTGTCGTTTGTCATCTGTCACTTGTGTTACTTTAGAGACTCAATTATAATAATTAACAAAAAATAACTTCAACAGCAAAAGTGATGAAAAGAACGAAAAACGTGATCGTTCATTAACTTCGCTTATCATCTGTCACCTGTCAATTATTCTACCATCAAATAAATCATGATTTAATTGTCTTGTCATCTTTCATCGTGTTATTTTAGAGACTCTATTAAATCGTAATAATTAAAAAAAAACGTGGCGAGTAAACCAAAAAACGTGATCGATTAACGTCGCTTGTTGTTTGTCATCTGTCACTTGTCAATTATTTTATTATTTTAACGTCAAATAAATTATGATTTGATTGACTGTCACCTGTCTTTGTATTACATTTGGAGACTTAATTGTAGTATAATAATTAAAAACTAAATAACTAAAAACAAAAGTGATAAAAAAACGAAAAACGTGATTTTCATCAATAAATTCGCTTGTCGTTTGTCATCTGTCACTTGTCTAATACGTCGTCAACTGTCTGTCAACTGTCATTGTGTTATAAGAGAGAACGATACGAAAAAAAACTATTAAATACATAATAATTTATCACACTTTATTCGATTATTAAATAATAAATACAATAAAATACAGTTTGAGTATCAAAATAAAGGGGATATTTATTCGAATTGAATTAAATGAAAAATCGATTGTAAATATAATAATAAAAATGTGTACCATATGCATAAAGTGATTTAATGTTTGTTTTCCATGCGAGCATTAATTGCGAAATGGTTCGATTAAATTACAATTAGGTAAATTATAATGCGAAAAAAATCCATTACGCATATCTAAAATCTTGTAAACGTACGAGAATTATCGGATAAAAAAAATAAGTACGAAATATTTGCTTGTATTTTTACATGTGTTAAATTAATTTTATGTTCTAAGATTTTTTTTTTTAGTTTGAGCGTAAGATATGTACAAAACGAAGGTGGGGAATTTTTTCTACGATTTTTTCGAAATTTGACTTGACTATTTGCACGTTATAATGTCAAAAAAATCTCGGTAAGTTTCTAAAAAATAAAATTTAGAAAAATGGCGATTTACTATTGAAATTTCATAAATTTGACTGCACTATACTGCATTTGACTGCAATTTCACTGCACTATAAAAATAATCTTTAATGGTGCAGGATACTAAAATTTTTATATCGGATCAAACTCATATAAATCTTAAAAAAAACTAACAGTAAAATTTAGAAAAAAAATTCCTAAACTATTAACAGTGTTTATCCTCAATTTATAGTCCAGTCAAAAAACAGAAAATTCTGAAAAAACTTTCTTCGCCGATTAAAAATTAAAATTCTAACCCAATTTCCATAACAATTTTGACATTCGACAATTATTTGACATTCCACAATTTTGACATTCCACAGTTTTTGACGTTTGACAATTTTGACATATGACAGCTGACATCTCATAAAAAAAACCGAACTATTCCAAATAATCCAGTCAAAAAACCGAAGATTTCGTAAAAAAAAATTCCCCACCGATTAAAAAAACTAAAATTTCCCTAACCCAATTCCGATAGGACGGAATCGAGATCCTCCTGCAGCATCACAGTGGTCTCCTTCTGCTTGTTCAAATCGTCCTGCAGCCGTTCGGCGTTCGTCTTCAACAGGAAATTCCCCTTTTTCAGCGCATTCAAACGGTTCTCGTGCTTCTTCGTTCTCCCCGTCAAATTCTTCTTCTTTCTCTCGTTGTCCGCCTCTTCGTCTTCGCTCTGCGATTGCTCCGAATCCTCGCTCTCTTCGCTCTCTTCGCTATCGTCGTCTTCGTCTTCTTCTTCATCCTCTTCCTCCTCGTCTTCTTCGTCTTCGTCTTCTTCGTTTATTTTCTTGTTCTTCTTATCGCTGTCGTCGTCTTCTTCGTCGTCCTCCGCTTCGTCGGTGTCTTTCATCAAGGCCGCCATTTTGTCGACTTCTTTCTTCAGCTGTTTGTACTTCTTCTTCTCCTCCTTCATTTCCGTTTGGTGTTTTTTGATGATGTCTCTGAGCGCCCGTCTCTCTTTCTTCGCGTTGTCTTCCTTGGTCTTCAGGCTTTGCAGTTTCTTCTTCAGTTGCTTCACTTCCTTCGCCAGGCGTTTCTCTTTCTTCGTCTCGTCGTCCTCGCCTTCGCTTTCTTCTTCGGGTTCCTCCTCCTCCGGATCGTCTTCTTCTTCCTGGCTGTGCTTCCGGTCGCTTATCGACGGTCTCTTACCTGGAAGAAACGAAGAAACAGCATCTTGATACGCTCTGTATACGATGAAGAAAGCGACGGTTCGACTCACCCATCAGGGCCTCCTGTAATTTCTTCTCTAACAATTGATTCTGTCGCTTGAGTTCGTCCATCTTGGATTTGGCCGAGTCCAATTCCTCGGCCGCCTTGTCGTATTTCTTCTCCAATTCCCGCGACGTTCTTCTCGCCTCCTCCGCCTCGCTCTTCAATCCCTTTATCACCTGCGAAATTTGACATTCGACAACTTTGACATTAGATAACTTTGACATTCGACAACTTTGACATTCGACAACTTTGACATTCGACAACTTTGACATTAGATAACTTTGACATTAGATAACTTTGACATTCGACAACTTTGACATTCGACAACTTTGACATTCGACAACTTTGACATTAGATAACTTTGACATTCGACAACTTTGACAAGCGATAACTTTGACATTCGACAACTTTGACAAACGACAACTTTGACACTCTACAACATTGACACTCGACAACTTTGACAAGCGACAACTTTGACACTCGACAACTTTGACAAACGACAACTTTGACCCTCTACAACATTGACATTCGACAACTTTGACAAGCGACAACTTTGACATTCGACCACTTTGACGACAACTTTGACACTCGACAACTTTGACACCCAACAACTTTGACATTCGACAACATTGACAAGCGACAACTTTGACATTTCTAGATTTGGACAATTGACAATTTTGACAGTTACCTTTTCGTCGGCGGTGGCGTCGCCGGGTTTGCCGTCGCCTTTGGCCCGACCCTTTTCCTTCTCCAGTTCGGCTTCCAGATTCTGGATCCTCGACGATAGCCGTTTGTTTTCCCGTTCCAAGGCCTCCTTGTTGCGCAGCTCCAACGCCAGCATTTGCTTGGTACTTTGCAGGTCGTCCCTGACCTTGTCGATGTCGTCCATTTCGTCGATTTCGTCCGTCTGGATCTCCTCCTGGACGTTCGGTAAACGGGGAAAAACAAACCGAGGATAATTCGGCCGGATTTTACATGTTTTTTTTTGTTTGTTTAATGTATGATCATTTCGTATAATGTATAGGAATTGTTTAATGTATGATCATTTCGTATAATGTATAGGAATTGTATAATGTATGACGATTGCGTCATTATTGAAAATTCCGTAATGTAGGAATCTCGTGTAATGTATGAGAATTATATAATGTATGAGAATTGTATGTATAATGTATGAATAATGTATAATGTACGATTCTCGCTCTGAACAGTTCTAATTCGTTCTGGAGCGTTCTAATTCACTCCGAACTGTTTTAAATCAACTTGCGTTCAATATTAATATAATGTATGATTTTTGTTTGTATAATGTATGTGTTAAAATACGATATAATGCTTACTGGCGGCATGCTGGCCATTGATATGGATTTCTGGATTTGTTCTTCTATCGTCATTTGCCTTCGGAACTTCCTGAGACCGTCCAGGACCGGTTTGCTCCTGTCGTTGGTCTTCACTTTCTTCAAATGTATACCTTTTTCTATCTGCAAAATGTCAAAAAAATATTCATATGGTGCATTATATTGATGCATTATATCAATGCATTATATTGGTGCACTATATCGATACATTATATCGATGCATTATATTGGTGCATTATATCGATGCATTATATGAATAGTCGTACCTGTTTGAGCAGCTCATTGTGAACATTAGCCTCCTCGCTCTTGTAGATGACGTGCTTGTCGGCGGTGCTGGTGGTCTCCTGCAGTATCGGGTTCGATCTGTCGTTGCAGACGACGTGCTTCAGCTGTCGCTTGGCCTCGATCTCCTGCAGCAGATTGTTCCAATCGGGTCGGTTCTTGGGGCGGGCCCGGAGCTTGTTCAGCCGGCTCTTCTGCTTGTCGGTCAACGACTTCTTGGGCGGCTCGCCGGGCATGAGGGGCGGCGGGGGCGGCGCGCCAGGCATGAGTGGCGGCGGCGGCGGGACGTTCGTTTGGGATAGACGGCGCATCGAGGCCTCCCTGACGAGGGCGTTGCGCTTCTGCGGCATCTCCTGCGACATTATATTATTGTATATACATTATACAGTATAATGTATACATATAATGCATTTTTTTGTATGTCTTACAGTAGTTTTGAGTGTTCGAAATTTGCTAAGTTAAGGTGTTTGTGTGCATTATATATGTCGTGTATAATGTTGTGTATACATTATATACCTTATCTAATTCGACCTCGTCCGAGTCCTCGTCGGTTTCCTCCTCATCGGAGGAGGTTTCGCATTTGTTGGATTGCCTCCTCGGGGGGTTTTTGAGCACCCTCTCGGAGGCCTTTTGCAAGGTGGGGAGGTTCTTCAGTTTGAAGTCCTTTTTGGGGGGCGACGCCTCCCTTTGGGGTACCGGTTTGAGGGCCGGTTTTTGGAAGAAACTCTCTTTGGCGCCGTTTTCGGGTATCTCTTTCGGTTCGTTTTTCTTGATTTTTCGCAATTTTACACCGTCTGTATATATATATAAAAAAATGTATAGTATAATGTATAGGTCGTATAATGCTTGCAATAATGTATAAGAGGTAGTATAATGTATGGGTTGTATAATATGCATGTACTACCAGTTAGTGCGTTTCGAAACTTCTTGCTTAAAATCTTCTCTCACTCTCGTCGCAAAAGATACATTTTTTTTTAGTTAGAACAAAATATATAATGTTTTACCTAGAATTTTGTTTTTTCTAACGCCTTCTCCGTTCTCCTCCGGTTCGGGTTTTTTGTTAACTTTGGTGGGTTTCAGTTGCACTTCAGCTAAAATATGTATAACACGGACACGTATAATGTATATGTATAATGTATAATGTACGACATGTAGCTCGAAAACGATACAATAAAGGAATTAAATGTTACCTAAAGGATTGTACGCGTTGTCCTTTTCGCTCGCGTCCGAATTGGACACGTTGCTGTCCCTTCTGGGCGTCGTTTTCAACGCCCAAGGTTGGGCGGGCGTCGGCAACGGCGTCGGTCCTTCTTTCACCCATGGCGGCCGGAACGTCGTCCTTTTCACCGTCCCATCGCCGCCTCCTTCGCTCTCCTTACCCGCCGGCATCTGGTTTATCAGCACACCAACAGAGTACATTATATAGGAATGCATTATATTGAGATTTATGAACGATACAGTGCGTTATTTTTGAGAATTGTACCTGATAAATTATGCAGATATCATGCAAGAATGTTTTTGGGAGAATATGAGAAGTGCTACATTATATAGGAATGCATTATATTGGGATGTATGTACAATATAGTGCGTTATTTGAGGGTTTTATACTGCATTAGGCAGGTTTTATTGATGTCAAAAATAGTTTTGTGAGAATATAATGTGGTAGATTATAAAGGGGTGCATTATATTAGAATGTATGAGCAAATCGGTGCATTATTTACGGTTTATAGCGCATTATGCGTGTTGTATTGACATCAAAGAGGTTTTTTGTACGAAATAAAAATGCTACATTATATAGGAATGCATTATATTGGAATATATGTACAATACACTGCATTTTTTGAGGGTTATACTGCTTTATGCAGGTTTTATTGATGTCAAAAATATTTATGTGGGAATATAATGTGGTACAATATAAATGGGTGCATTATAAGAACAATACAGTGCATTATTTTTGAGAGTTTTACCTATTAAATTATGCAGTTTTATTTATATCAAGAATGTTTTTGGAAGAATATGATCAAGAATGTTTTTGGAAGAATATGAGAGCTATACATTATAAAGCGATGCATTATATTGAAATGTGTGAGCAAAATGGTGCATTATTTACGATTTATAACGTGTATTATGCGTGTTTTATTGACATCAAAAATGCTTCTTGTGCGAAATAAAAATGCCGATGCATTATATTGAAATTTACGAATACATTATTTAAGGTTTTACAAGCGAATTATGCAGATTTGATGTTCCTCAAAGGTGATGCATTTTACGCGTAGATATTTTGTGTATACATAGATGTAAAACGTACGAGTATTTTGGCGTCGCGACGCCCATATATTTTCGTTTATGCGCGAATCCCGTTCGAACGTCCGTGGGCGTCGAATCGTTCGCTATTTTCGCGTAAAGTAGGTGAACATTTTTCAAAATAATGTATACAGCGTGTTGCTATATTTACTTCTACTATGCACTATAATATGGCATTATTTAATTAATTCTATTCATTAATGTATCTACTGTAATTTGAGTAAATTGATCCAGAATGTTTGGATTAATATAATGTTAAAAAAGTTATTTAAAATGTCGCAATTTAGGGGAAATATTTTGTATTAGTTTATGGTGTAATGTATCGTATAAAATAATGTATAATTATTGTAAGATTTGCGTGAAATTTATGTTGGGTTTATTTTTAATGATAGATTTAAAAATGAAATTACATTACATTGTAAATTTGTTTATTAGTTAGTGATATAATGTATAATGTTTAGACGAATAATACAGTTTAAAAATTGTTCTTTTTGACAAAAATTAGATATTTAATTATTCATCGAAATGTTCGATTGTATAGAATCTATAGTAGATAGAGATTTAAATGTTTCGATGATTAAAGTGATAAATAATGTTTATTTTCGAATGTGAAATAATAAAATGCAAAATATTTGTCGATGTTAATCTAAAATTAGACGTTTTTATTGGTCGATTTTGAAGTTAACACGCGCCCAATTATTCATAATTTCACTAAATTTAGACCTTTTTCATACGCATATGTCGAATGAATCGAATGATCTTGACAAAACCAAACATTACAATATCCTTTTAAATTTTTTCTCTAATTATACAATGTTATTAAAGCATAATCTACTATATGCAGTAGAAAAAATAGCGTTAGATACTCTACAATTACAATTTCAAATACTCACGGTTTTCCAATCGACTTTCAAAGCGTAGAAATCGCTCGATTTTCGCACAATTTTCAGTAACAAAAAAAAAATTTCTATCTACCGATTTCCCGAACGCGCTGAATTACAATTTCGCGACGGACGGACGTTTTTTCAGCGTCGAGACGGACATTTTCAGAATAGAAATAGCTGAAAACTATTTTCGTAACATATCCAACGAATCGCCCCCTCTCTTTCTCGCCTCAACGGAAAACTCGAGAAAGCCGCTCGAAGAGCGAGAGCGCGCGCGCGAATTAAAATTAAAAACCCACATCATTTCGGAATATATATTTTTTTTCTACCGCCGTTTATTTACATGTTTTTCTCGCACTCGGCTACGCCTCGTATCCTAAATAGATCGGTTAAATATCTAGCATGTTATTGTCTTTTTTTACCAGATTGCAGGATGATAATTTAATAAGAGGTTACAATTCTATTAGTTGAACGAAATTAGATCGCTTCAGAGAGAACTAGAGAACTGTCCTGAACAGTTTAGGACACTTCAGAGCGAACTAGAACTGTCCTGGACAGTTTAGGACACTTCAGAGCGAATTAGAACTGTCCTGGACAGTTTAGGACACTTCAGAGCGAGTTAGAACTGTCCTGGAAAAAGTGACGTACACGTCAAACTGTCATTTTGTCGTTTACTGTTAGTGTAAAAATGACTAAAAATGAATGATGCTATACTATGCAAACGGTTCTTACACCAAAAAACTGGTATTCCTGTAATGTATTGAGATACGATTTTCGGTAATTTTGAATTTCGTAATGTAGCTATATGCGACATATGTAGAGGATACACATTCTTCTTCTTATTCGTTTGAGGCCTCAGCTACATAGACGATACATATACACATGACATATGACAGCTGTCAAAAAAATTCGCAAATATTTGTTGGTTAGATTTCACAATGTTTTAAAACGTACAAAACAAAAAGGTACTTACCGTTAGTAGATATTACACGATATTTCTTTTAAACCGGTGCCCGTTCCCCGTTCCGTAGATGTGGCCCGTTATTTTTACGGCGCTGAGAACGTACGCGCCCTACGTGACTCTGCCCTTTGCCGCTGTAGTCGGAATAATCGGCTACAACTTGGAGAATTTGCTATCCGACAAATACACCCCTTACAACAGTAAGTACATATTCGATTTGTTTATGTAAAACCACCAAAAACTTCACCAATTGTTGTATCGCAGAGTCCATCGAGGAGCAAAGACAGGAGCGACTGTTAGGTGATGGAAGTTTAGAGGAACCGGCAAACGTGGAGAAATTGATATACAAAGCGAATATTTTAGACAAAAATCTATCGCCTTCTTTGTCTTGATTGTTAGGAAATTTGTACATTTGTAGTTTTTAGGTTGTTTCGAATTCGATTAAAAATGTAAATAAATCGGTTTATTATTATTATTAGCGCTTTAAAATGTAGGTGTAATCGCCTTATCCCTTTCTCTCACCCTTTGGCCTCTTCTATCACACATCAAAAGTCACTAAAAACCCGTCAAAAAAAAAACAGCAAGGAAGAACAAAATTCTAGTGTCAAAATCATGTTAGTAATAGATTCAAACAGAGCCCAACCACACCGACATGTTAACAACGCTGATAATACCGACAGCCACAAGCACCCTGATGTGGACGTCCCTCTACTACACCCTCCTCTACCACCTCCACCCCGACAAAACCAAAGAGTACTGCTCGAGGATCCTCAGCTTCGCCCACGGCCTCATCGCCGCCTACTTCGGCCTCTCCCAGTGCTTCCTCATCCGCCCCGGCGAAGCCTCGAGCGACCCCATCGCCGCCCAAACCAACCTGATGATCTTCAGCTTGGGCTACTTCCTCTACGACCTCGCCTGGATGTACCGCCACCAATGGGACGAGAAGCTCTACGTCGCCCACCACGTCTACTGCGTCGCGGCGCTGTGGACGCTGCTGTGGAAGGATGAGTACAGGGCGCAGGCGTGCTGCGCATTGGGCGGCTTGGAGGTGTCCAATCCGTTCCTGCAGGGCCGGTGGTTCCTGCGCAGCGAGGGCTTGTACCCGTCGCTGGGTCACGCGATCGTCGAGGCCGCGTTCGTGGCGGTGTTCGTCGTGGTGAGGGTGCTGCTGGGGTCGTACTATTTGGTGAAGATGTTGAAGTCCGACGAGGTGGATGCTTATTTCGTGGTGATGGGGGTGTCGATTTACGTTATATCTATGTTGTTTTTCGCTACGATCGTTAAATTCGTTTTGATTAAGTTGGGTTGGATGTCGAAGAGGTGAATCGGGTTGGGGGGGATCGAGTATCGAATCGGACGGGTATTTATACCGACGGATAAACGTATATAGTTTTTAATCGTAAATAAAAATTTGATATAATATAGTGTATAATGTTCTTCTTCTCGTTTGGAATTGAAGATTTTTCCAATTCGGAACAATGTACATATAAAAAAGTCCACGGGGATATAAAAAACGTTTCGAGTATAGTGTTATAAACGAAAAAAAAAGGCTACCTCTTCGTTCGTATTAATCAAAAAAATACTGGTGTGCATAAAAAACCTTCTAGCTTTGTTCGAGTTTCAAAAATTTGATGAAATAACTCAAAAATCCGTCGAGCTACAGTGGTAAATGATACAAAAAAAAATCCATCTTTGGTGGGTTAGGTTTACACTTTGTATAACAACAAACATTCGAAACTACAACAACGCCGTTAAATAATAATTAAATATTTAAAAAAAAATAGCTACTGAAATGGTTCAAAAACGTGCCGATTCGACTAGATCGATAATTCCTCGCGGATGGTCAAAATAGCCCAAAAAACAAAATGGCCCAAGACAGAACAGCCCAAAAACAAAATAGCTTAAAATAGCTCGAAATAGAGCCATTTTTAGGACAATCACTCCTTATTTCATCAAGCATAAGCATTTCTTATGCGTAACACCCTGTATAATATTGCATATTTACCACGAAATACAACAGAATTAAAAAATGTCCTAGAAACCCTAGAAATTTGATAAATACAGGGTGTCCCAATGAAAAGTAGCTCCTTTAATGAGCTAATAATTTTTTAACGCCTAATCATAAAAAAACATGCGGTTTTCGTAGATATATCTTATTTTGCTATAACTTTTTGTTACGGCGACACAAAAATTTTGTATCGTATGTACAGGGCGTTTCAAAAATCCCCCTCTTTTAAATTTACATTAACGAAATTTTATGATATAGGACATCTTCTTTTGTACAAATAACACATTTTTGAAAAGTAGAAGAGCATATCTTTCAAATTACCTCTATATATACGGGGTATTCTATTTAAAAAAAAAATTGGTTACTGTGTATTTAAAAGAGGAGATTTTGATAAAACACCCTGTGTTGGTAATGCATAATTTCTGTATCACTGTAAACAAAACTTCTAATAAAATATATCTGAGAAAACCGCATGTTTTTACGATTATTCGTTTACAAATCACAAGCTCATTAAAGGTGCTACTTTTCATTGGGACACCCTGTGTATTTGCTTCTAATTCTACCACAACCGTTTTGCCTCAAGCTATTTAGTATTCGGGCTGTTTCGATTCCATCTTCGACCACGAAATTAGAATGCAACAAACAAACCCAACGACATCCTCACTACAAAAAAAAATTCACCTAATCGTACGATCGACACAACGACACAAAAAACTCCCTGTATAATCCAACCGACGCAAAACAACAAATCATTCCAAATAAACCAGACAATCGGTACTGTAAACGCTGCCCAACGTAAACAACATCGGCACCTCCACGATGACCGTCCGGCCGTGCCCGGCCCGTTGCATTTGCACCACCTGCAGGCGCCTCCTTCGGCGCGGGCGCCGCGCCGATTTCGACGCCGCCGCGACGCCCTCTCGCGGCGACAGAAACAGCGGCTTGTCGGCGTAGGTCAGTTCGAACCGGTTCAGCAGCTCGGGCCGTCATAAGTCCGGGAATCGGGCCGGGTCTTCGGCGTAGTTCTTGGGCACGGCGAACATGTTTTTGGGTATGTCGTCGCGGAACTCGAAGTGCTGGAATGTGATCTTGGCTGTGACGGTGGGCAGGATGGGTATGTCGATTTTCACCGGAAAGCCGTTGGGTAGCTTGAAGGTGATGAAGTCGCGCAGCTTCGAGAAGTGCTTGAACGGCGCTATGACTTCGAGGACGTTCAGCAACATCTCCACCGATAGCGGGAAATCCGAGCTCTAGAAATTTACAATCATTACTCAACTATTTTAGAAGATAACAGGGAAGCTTATACCATTGCTATAGTGGCTTTGAACGATTTCGTCGACTCTTTATACACCAATTCTCTTCCTAATCTCGGGTAATTATTCAATTCGGAGTTTATGTAATCATCCCAGGTGACTCGTTTATCGGGCGGCGGTAGCAAACTGTTTCTTCTCACAGGCTGAACACAAAAGATATTTACAAAATGCATAACACGATCGATTCGAATCGTACCTCTCCGTTTTGATCGAAATTCTGCAAGTTCCCGCCTTTGGTCAAACTTTCCAATATAGCTTTGTTCTTTTGCAAATCGTCCGACGACAAATGCTCCCTTCGTTTCCTGCTTTCCAATTGCAACCCTTGCACGATGTACAAATCGCTCTCGTACTGTCCCGCTACCAATTCCTGACAGACAAAACTCCAATTAAAACCACATTACAATCGGATAATCGTACATACTTTTCTATCCTCTCTAAAAAACCAACCGCTCTGAGCTCTAACGAACGATATGCTCTTGGTGGATATTTGAGCGGCTAGGATATCGGTGGACATCAGCAGGTCTACTTCATCTTCGATCTCCATCTCGCTCTCCTCTTGCCTGACTTTTTGGTATACTTTGGAAATGTTATCGAGTACAGTGAGGCTTTCGCTCGAATTGGCGGCTCCGTTGAAAATAAAAGATATATCCCCTCGTTCCCATCGCATGTCAGAGAAGTCCACGAGGGTGGTGTCTAATCTGATGTTGGAGCCGCTTTTGTAGATTTTGCACACGTCCGATGGCAAGATTCTAGACACTAGCGGTACTGAAATATATATTCGAGAGTTTGTTAGTTTCTTAGAATGTATTTGTTTAATTACCCCAAGATTGAAAATCCCATTTCAACTCCATGTAGAAATCGTTTATTTTACTCAAGGCCTTCACCAAGTTAGGTCTTCGGTCCTCCATTTGCTCTCTCGATTGCTGCCTGAATTTTCGTACCAACGAAGAAACTTTAATCAAACGCAATTAATATTGAACCTAATTAGAAATGTAATACTTACTAGTAGGTCTATTTCCGTAACTAACTGCTTCGGCTAAAACGGTCCATCCTAATCCATTTTTCACCTTTACGGGGGCGTCGTGTTTTAATAATAATTGAACGCATTCTAAAATAATCAGTACGATTTTTCGTGAAGTGAATTGTGCAATATTAATCTAATACCTTTCCTGCCCAACATGACCGCCAGATGTAAAGCCGTGTTACCTGGAAATCATAATTGATAATTTTATTGCAGGTAAAATGACGTTCCAACGGGAGGAAATCATAACCTCAAAATTTCGGGTACGGAAGGATTGAATTAAAATTAATCGTTACCGTGCTTGTCTTTCGAAGCCACGTCGTGCTTTCGAATTAACCTGGAAAGATTCGGTAAATCATTGTCGAAAACGGCTTTGTGAAGGGGAAAACCGTCGCTCTCTTGCGCCATTACAATTTTTTTATTTTCTAACAAAAATGATAAAATATTGACAATTGATTGACATTTGTGAGAATAATTCTAGGGACTTTTCGTTTGGTTACTCTTTTTTGTTGGCTATTGTGGGTGTACAGCCAAGGTCGTATAATTAAAAAAGGTTGTGTTGTCTAATAAGAAAATTACCATAACTATCTTTTAGACGTTTGTTAATTAATATATTTACCTCTATTAATATGAATTAAGTACAAGAAATAGTGTGATACCAAATTAAGTTTAGAAAGTTCGTTACTACAAGAAGTCATTGATCAAATTTCTTGTATGTGTACCTTGGTTTTATTAGGAGAGACAATTTTGACGTAAACTGTCAGGTAGTCAACATTGACACCTGTCAATTAATTACAACCAACTTGACACTTCCACTCCAAAATACCGAAAATTTCAATTACATTTCCCATTAATGAGTCCATTTAGTCCATTTACACACACATCCCAGCCGGCCGAATAAAGCGCACCAAAGGCACCATGTCGTCGGATTCCGATCGCCTGCGGAGCGAGATCGAAAGACTGACGCGCGAATTGGACCAGGCGAGCAGCGAGAAAGTCCAATCGGCCCAATACGGGCTCGTCCTGCTCGAAGAGAAGAAGGAACTCCAGCAGAAATGCGACGAACTCGAGCTCCTCTACGAGAACGCCAAGCACGAGCTGGGCATCACCCAGGAGGCGCTCGCCAAGTTCCAAACCAGCCACAAAGTCACCACCAAAACGGGCATCGAGACCGAGGAATCCCTGCTCAACGAATCGGCCGCCCGCGAGAGCTCTCTCACCCTGCAAATCCTCGATTTGGAGAACGAAGTGAAGCAGTGCAGGCACGAATTGGAGCGCGTCACCGCCGAGCGGGACCGCATGCTCCAGGAGAACACCGACATGGGCAAGGACAAGGAGGACAGGCACATGGAGTGCAAGAAACTCCGGGCGGAATTGCGCGAGGTCAAATTCCGCGAGAATCGACTCATAGCCGATTACTCGGAGCTCGAAGAGGAGAACATCGCCTTGCAAAAGCAAGTCTCCGCATTGAAAAGCTCCCAGGTGGAGTTCGAGAGCCTCAAACACGAAACCCGTCGACTGCACGAGGAGATGGAGCTGCTCAATTTACAACTCGAAGAGGTCGGTAATTTGAAGAAGATCGCCGAGAAACATATGGAAGAGGCCCTCGAATCCTTACAGGTATACATACTATCATCGTACTATTTATTGCTCAATTCAATCGTAATAATCATATGAAATTTTAGAGCGAACGGGAGGCGAAGTACGCCCTGAAGAAGGAGCTCGACCAGCAGATCAACCGCGAATCGTTCTACAACATCAACAATCTGGCGTACAGGATACGGGGCATGTCGAGCGACGACGCCATCGGCAGCGATTGCGAGGACGATCTGCCCGGCCTCAAACACATCGAGGCGACCATTTGCGGCGAGGCGCAATCGCCCGACGGCAAGCAGGTCGATCTCTTCTCCGAGGTGCACCTCAACGAGCTGCGCAAGCTCGAGAAGCAACTCGAGCAGCTCGAAAAGGACAAGTCGACGTTGACGCAGAACCTGCGAGACAACCAGGGATCGGTGGAGAAGAGCCAAGGGGAGTTGCAGGTGTTCGTGGCGCGGCTGGTGCAGCTCGCCGCCCACGTCGATTCGCTGCAGCACCTCGCCCAGATCACGGACAAGAGCGTGTCGAAGCAAACCGATGAGGCCGCCCGTTGCCTGCAACAGTACCGACAGTGGTTCAAGATGTCCGCGAAGGAGATCGATCTGTTGAAGCGCGACATCGAAGAGCTGGAGAATCTGGCGAATATTTCGGATTCGACGTTGCAGTTGCGCGGCGAGATCACCAATTTGAAGAACAGATTGTTCGACGCCGAACAGAAGTCGATGGATTTGGACGGCGATCTGAGGTTGCTGCGCGACTTCGCCTGCGAGGCCGGCACTTGCTTGGACGACAGCCAGAACGCGTTGCAGGGGATCTCCGAGGATCTGGCGCAGTTGTATCATCATTTGTGCACCGTTAACGGCCAGACGCCGTCCCGGGTGATTTTGGATCACGAAAAGGAAGCCCAAACGCCGAGTAAGTTTTTGAAATTGTTCCTATTGTATTTAAATTGGCAAAATAATCGAGTATTCAAGTCATTGTTGATGAACTAATTAACTTAGAACAATCGGGAATTCAAAGTTTACAATCGTAGCTAACTTCGCGTTGTTTATTTTAACCTTTTAATTTATTGTATTTTTTTTGTATTATTTCGTTATTTCTTTTTAATATGCGTGTTTATTACGTTTATTATTCACGTTGTGTTTATTTTTGGCTCTTTGACTGTATTTAATTCGAATTTATATTGTAAAATTTCAAATTCGCATACAGAGCTAACTTCACGTTATTCGTTTTATCGTTTAAATTACTTTTTTTCTGATTATTTCGTTATTTCCTAATAATAAGCCTATTATTTATATTTCGTACTCACTTTTTAAACTTTCTGCAGCTCTTGGACTAGATTTATATCGAATTAATATAGTAAAATTTAAAATTCGCATAAACAGCTAACTTCACGTTATTCGTTTGATCGTTAAAATTTTTTTTTTCCGATTATTTCGTTATTTCTTAATAATATGCGTATTATTTATATTTCGTACTCACTTTTTAAACTTTCTGCAGCTCTTGGACTAGATTTATATCGAATTAATATAGTAAAATTTAAAATTCGCATAAACAGCTAACTTCACGTTATTCGTTTGATCGTAAAAATTTTTTTTTCCGATTATTTCGTTATTTCTTAATAATATGCGTATTATTTATATTTCTTACTCACTTTGTAAACATTCTGTAGCTCTTGGACCATATTTATTTCGAATTTAACATTGCAAAATTTAAAATTCGCATAAAAAACTAACTTCACGTCGATTACTCCAACGTCAAATCTCCAGCCGACTTTGCAAATACAAATTAAGAAGCCCGTTAGTACTAAAAACACTCTCGATTAATGCATTTCGAAATTCCAGTGACCGAAACAGCGCCGCCCATCGGCGAGATGTCGAAGATCGAATTGCTGAGGAGCCGATTGAAGAGCGACATTCCCCTGCACGATTTGGAGCCCCTGAACGATTCCACCGTTCTATTCAGAAACGTCGCGACGATCGTCGATCAAATAAAACACCTGCGAGCAGCCGTAGAGAACACCATCGAGCTGTCGAAGAACAAACGCAACACCACCGAAGGCTCCTACGAATGTACTACTCGATAAAATACTCTCGAATTCGCGTTTAATTTAAGCTATATTTCCTTCCAGCTCTGCGAGACGAATCGAGCGAATCGGAGATACAGGAGCTCCAAGAGCAAGTGGTGCGATTGAAGAGCCTTTTGTCGACGAAACGCGAGCAAATCGCCACCCTTCGTACGGTGCTCAAGTCCAACAAGAACACCGCCGAAGTGGCGCTGACGAATCTGAAGGGGAAATACGAGAACGAAAAGACCATCGTGTCGGAGACCATGATGAAGCTGCGCAACGAACTGAGGCTGCTCAAAGAGGACGCCGCCACGTTTTCCAGTACGAATCCTTCTATAATCTTTAAAAGCCGTTAGAGACCCTAACGGGGATGTTTTTTTTTGAACGCCAATCGATCATTTAATGTGTCTATTTAACTTGACGTTGACAGTTTTACGTTGTTGTTATGGAGTAACTAAGGACGTTGTTTACGTTAAAAGAGACTGTAAATAAGCGATTACGGTTAAAGAGAGGCGCTAAATGTGGCCTTTTACTAAAGAGCGTATCAATTGGACTGTAGCAATAATTATGTAGTCTCTAACAAGGGACTCCATTTAGCCTCTTTTTACCCTCTTCTAGCTTCCTAAAACAGGCAGCTTCCCTTCGAACATAAACCTTCGCATTTCTCGATTATAATACTGGATATTGATACAATTTTTTCGCCGTAGGTTTGCGCGCCATGTTCGCCGCCCGCTGCGAGGAGTACGTGACGCAGGTGGACGAGCTCCAGCAGCAACTCGGCGCCGCCGAGGACGAGAAGAAGACGCTGAACCAGCTGCTGAGGCTGGCCGTGCAGCAGAAATTGAACGTGACGCAGCGCTTGGAGGAGCTCGAGGTCGACAGGGAGATCCGGAACGCCGCCCGCCGCCCCAACAACAGGAATTACGCGAGAGGAGGCGGCGGCGGCGGCGGAGGCAGGGCGGGAGGGGGGCGTGACGTGTTCTAGCGCAGGTCGAGGATTTCCGTCGATTGGTCGGCTTTCCTCGCCGCGTTGTTTCGATTGTGAAATGGCGGGGAATGAAATTTGTGAAATGGAAGGATCAATCGCTCGCTCTATTCGCTGTCTTTCTTTAGATTAAGCGATGGTAAAGGAGAGAGAATGTGAGCGATTGATCCGGCGATTGAATTTTGTTTCTGCGCGATTGTTGTTCATTTTTGTAGGTGGTGGGTGTGTAAATTGTATTTAGCTGCGCAGCTTCGGGTGATCGAACATCATCGGGGTTAATCGGGTTCGCCTCGTTCCTTTTTTAGTACTCGTGTGGATGGTAAAGGAGCGAGAGTGACGGGTATCGACCATCGTACTTTGCGATGTAATTGAATTAAATAGATATTTTTGTAACGTTGGAGGATTATACAGGATGGTCGAAGGTTTGTTGGATTGTTCGATTGTTCGATAGGTGTTTTAACAAAAATAAGATGATTCGGAATTGGGAATTTCGATCGTCTTCGTCCAACGTCGGGAAATTGTTATTGAATTTTTCGAATTAATGTTTGTTTGTTTGTTTTTATTACGTGTGATATACAGGCAGTCTATTTTATAATTTTTAACGTTAGTCTAGTCTAATTTTATTTAATCGTAATAACGAAATTCCGCACTAATTGGTTTGTTTTTTATTCGAACCGTACTGTACATATAAGTAGATGTTTTTTTTATATTTATATTAATCGAGCTATATTTATTTACTTCATCGTATTTACATTTACATTTACATAGAGGAATAATTTATTACTAATTATATTACTATTATATTGCGAAATAAGTGCAACGTTTCGATCTATTGATATTTATTTGAACTAATTGTTGATAAATTTAGAGAAAAAAAAGAATATAAACGAATAGAGAGTGTAATAGTTTGCGCAATCAAGGCGATTCTAAATTGATTCTCGATCGATCTAGATATCTTGATCTTCCGTTGGTTCTGTGTCCATAAATAATAATAATAATTTGATCGTTTGTCCTATTTCCGAGCCTAATGGACCACACGGAGAGCCTCATCCCGTCCCTCATGTTAAATTTACATTCGTTGGAACTGCGACAATTTCGAAATTGTTTTGCTCATTCGAGAGGTTGGGTTTTTTTTTGATTGATTATTTTTTCGATCCCGAAACTCAAAAGTTTGTTTCTGTTGAAAATGGCGTTTTTCGGATCACCATTAATAACTTGTTATAGTGATAACTTGATAAGATGAATTTGCCGTACGTGAAATACCGTTGTTAAAATTTAGTTCGTTTTTTAATGTGATCGATGTTACTTAATAGTACCTAATATTTTTAATAAAATTATATCTTATTAATTCGTATGAGTTTTTTTTCGCCTGAGAACCTTGCATCGAAAATCTCTTATGAATCGACAACTATTAAAGCTGGAATCACCCTGTATGTATCATTCGATAGAGAAAATGATTCTCTACAATTTCTGAAGAATCAAAAATTATCACAAACCTCGTATTTTTTGAGTTATATCAATTCTTGTTCGACTTGCAAAATGCTGTATTCAAAAAATTCGACCATATCACCGAAAATCTCTTATAAATCAAAAACTATTAAAACTGGAATCACCCTGCCTGTATCATTCGATAGAGAAAAGGATTCTCTACAATTTCTGAAGAATCAAAAAATATCACAAACCTCGTATTTTTTGAGTTATATCAATTCTTGTTCAACTTGCAAAATGCTGTATTCAAAAAATTCGACCATATCACCGAAAATCTCTTATAAATCAAAAACTATTAAAACTGGAATCACCCTGTATGTATCATTCGATGGAGAAAAGCATCCTCTACAATTTCTCAAAAATCAAAAATTCTCATAAACCTCATAGTTTCCGAGTTACATCGTTTTTTCCTCAACTCGCACAGGACCGTATTCAAACAATTCGCTCGCCCATACAAAAACATCGTTTCCTATTTACATTTAGATTAAAAAAAACCTCAAAACGGCAACAAAACGGGCCGTTGTACGGTAATTTTTTAACACCTTTCCACCGGTTTCTATTATACTCGAGCGTGGCAAATTACTCGAAAAACACCCCGGCGAGAAATAATAGATTGCCAGCGCGAATCCCCGCATCTCATCCGCCGACGCTTTTAAATCCGTAACGATACGTTACAACGCCCCAGCGGCGTCGCAAGATAATAAAATAAAAAAAAACATTAATTCATCTGCAACAATACAAAAATCATGTGGCTGATTATCTCAACAAGCAAGAGTCCATTTGACATTGACATATGTTATGTTATTTCTTCCACAATCCATAGCTAGCTTATTTTTTATCGCAAACACCAAGCGTCCTGAACATTTCAGGTATCGCAGCCACCGGATTAAAAGAATATTATTAATAAAACGCTGATGAGAAATGTATAAAAAAAGCGATTAGCTACGCCACTGTTGTCTATTAGAGAGCGCGCCCAATGTGAATGGATCCGTCCGAAACACCTGTTTAAAACTGTATAACAGCAGCCCCTTCATAGTCCATAGAAGCGCCTTGACAGCCAATAGCAAACAGATAAATCACCGCTAAAAGCTCTCCAGTTACCTCTTCAAAGCCCACTATGCTCGTAAACGGCTCTCATCGCTTGACACTTCTATGCTACGCCCGCTCGATTAATTCGTATATATTCGCTGGAGATTTATTTTTGCAATAATTTAAATAAATCATTGTACTAGTACATAAAGCGGTCCTTAAAACGGGCTTTTTTCGCCATATTTTTGGACTTACCAGAGGATTATTCGGCAAAAATTTGTAGCTGTCATCGCTTTTGACACTTCTCGCAATACGCCTACTCGATTAATTCGTTTATTCGTACGCTCAAGATTTATTTTTGTAATAATTTAAATAAAACATTGTACTAGACTAGTACATAAAACGGTCCCGGTACTGTCCCGGCGATGATTCTTCGTTATTTTCGCCGTATTTTTAGACTTTCTAGCGGATTATTCGGCAAAAATTTGTAGCTGTCATCGCTTGACACTTCTCGCTATACGCCTACTCGATTAATGCGTACGCAATAATTTATTTTTGTAATAATTTAAATAAAACGTGGATTAAAAGTCCCGGCGATCGTTCTTCTCTTTAAATCACCGTTTCCTCGGACTCTAACTAGCCGATTATTCGGTTAGATTCACAGCAATACTTTTTTTTTGTATTAATTTCTCTTCTTCTCGTTTATTGCCACATCTCGGGCCTCTTACTGGCCGATTATTCGGCCGAATTCGCGGGATGTTTGCGCGTAATTGTTCGATTTAGGTGCGAAATTTAACAGGCTCGTTCGAATTAACGTCGTTCCCTCGGCCGTTCGGTAGTTAAAACGTTTCGAAATATTATTTTAGGCCGGTTTATTTGAACTACTATTAGCGCTCGGATTCGTCGGGCCCGGTAAAAACGTAATAAAAACAATGAGCGGCGATTTCGCGCAAATATTTGTCTATTATTGATAGGTAGATGTGGTGCTAATGATTCGGTATTATTAGCGTAATCGAGTAAAATTTTTTTATTTGTTTCATTGGATAGCAGAAAAACAATTAGGAGGATTTAAATCGTCGGATATAGGGTGTTAATTAATTGAATGCCGATATACTTCAGGATGTGAATATTTGGATGATTTTAAGAAGAAAAGTTTATATTAATGTATGTCCTAAACCTCTTAGTTTTCGAGCTACAGGGTGTTAAAATTTTAGAAAAAAAAATAACTTGAACTCAGTATCGGCATACACTTAATTAACACCCTGTATTCTTTAATAATATGGTAGATAATAACGCGCTTATACGGGGTTCACATAACATTCTACTTTTTATTCTAATAATCAAAGTGGTTGAATATCCGATTTATTAAAGACCTTCAAAATAAAAACAACTAACGCACAGTCTACTTAGATGTTATTGTACGAATGAGTTAGCTCAAATTAGCTCTCCCTCTCCACATGGAAACAACAATTAAACGATTAATAATACAATGAATAACACCTTTTGAGAGAGCGAAGAAACTATAGCGAGAGGGAATTGAATCAATTATCCCGAACAATAACCGAACGAAATGATATGCATCAAGCAGGCCGCTTGCCGGGGAATCACCGGGCGACAATATGGCGGACATTCTCCCGTTGGATTTTATCACGGCCCTATATTTCTAAGGTCTGGAAACTCCTTATGATTATGCATTAGAGAATGTGTCCCGTTATTTGAGGACTTTTTGAGCTTCACTTTTGCGCCGCAAGGTCGCGAACGATCGAAGGACCAACTTATCTCAGCCAATCAGCGTCGAGCTACATATAAATCGCGGTTGTGTGAAATGACAGTACGAGCTGTCAAAACTTCAAAAATTATTTTTTGACATTTCTAGGAGAAAATGGAGCCAACATTAACCGAAGATACGTGAGGCATGATGTTTACAACAAAATCATCGCCGATTTAAGTATATTTTTATATTTTGTATCTATTTTTAGTTTGAATATAATCTTTCTTAATGCTAATTCTACATAATTCGTACGCAAAAAACCGTGGTTCTTTACAACATCGCCTCCTAGCGGCCGTTTTAGGAACCCTGTTTTATCCTCAAATAACGGGACACTTTTTCGACCTATGTTTCCAGACCTTAGAAATATAGGACCGTGGATTTTATATTTTATTCGCGTATAAACGCGGTAGAATCGACGGCGAGAGAAAATAAATATCGCGGTGAGAGAATAAAACGTGATGGAAATGAGTTTTTACAGGGCCGGTAATGACGCGTTAGAGGAGAGAATAGAGAAGTTGCGTGCGGACGTCACGAATCCGGCGTCGGGTTTCTCTCACGGCCGTCGCGACGCGTGATTTTTCCGAATAAGAAAGGGCGAGATTCGGGCGAGTTCGGCATCAATCGAAAGAAAACTCGTTATACATACTTATAGGTAAATATATCTTGAAAAACATGAATAACATCCTTCTAAAAACCTTCTAGATTATCAGCGACAGTTCTAGTTCCTTATGAAGTGATTTAAATTATACAGGACAGTTCTTATTCGCGCTCTGAAGTGTTCTAAACTGTCCAGGATAGTTCTAATTCTATCTGAAGCGTTCTAAATTATATAGGACAGTTCTAATTCGCTCTACTAAAGTGTTCTAAAACAGTCCAGGACAGTTCTACTTCCTTCTGAAGCGATTTAAATTATACAAGACAGTTTTTATTCGCGCTCCGAAGTGTTTTAAACTGTCCAGGATAGTTCTAATTCTATCTGAAGCGTTCTAAATTATCCAGGACAGTTACAATTCGCTATCCAAAGTGTTCTTAAACAGTTCAGGACAGTTCTATTTCCTTCTGAAGCGTTCTAAATTATATAGGACAGTTGTAATTCCCTCTAAAGTGTTCTAAAACTGTCCAGGATAGTTCTAGTTTCTTCTTAAGCTTTCTAAATTATCCAAAACAGTTCTAATTCGCTCTGAAGTAAGTATCGTATATAGAAAGAAAATGTTGTTCATGAAAGTAGAAAGAAAATTTCGTTCATAAAAGTAGAGAGAAAATATCGTTCATAACATGAAATGTAGAGAGAAAATATTGTTCATAACATGAAAGTAGAAAGAAAATGTTGTGCATAAAAGTACCCAAGTATAGTGCATGCGGTAATTTGACAAGCGACAATTTGACAAATGAATTTGACAAGCGACAATTTGACAAATGAATTTGACAAGCGACAATTTTACAAATGAATTTGACAAGCGACAATTTGACAAATGAATTTGACAAGCGACAATTTGACAAATGACAATTGACAACCCGCCAAATAAAGGTGCCCATCATATTAGCGACAACCATATACCGCGAATTAAACGGACGCTATATCGCTAATAACGCGACGTCGGCGTCGCCGCCGCGACGCCCATCCTCTCGCCATTGGCCGGGTGGGCAGGGCCGGCGCTCGCCCCCCCTCATCGGGAAAAGGGGGGGGGGCCCGGCCGGCGCGTCCTCGCTCGCTCAGTCTTCGCCATACACGGTGTCGCGAGCGCATGGAGAACCCAGACGAAGACGCCGCCGACGAGCCGGGCGCGGCGGCCAGCGAGCCGCCGCCGGGCGCCTGCCGGTTCAGCATCAGCAGCATCTTGGGCCTGGCGCCCGACGACGCCGACGCCGGTCAGGTTGAAACGAGGCGCGTCCGGTGCGTCAAACCGACGCCCGTGCCCGCCAGGAGTACAGGTTAGAAACGGGTTTTGACATTTTCATTTTCCATCCCACTTCTGATTTTCTAATTACTCGAGCTAATTTAGAGAATCTGCTATGTAAGGTCTGTTATTTACCTACTATTGTAAATCTATTTTAATCTGCCTTTAATTGGCGTTTAATCTGTTTTTCTTTAATCTGTTGCGCCTTTAATCATGATTAACAGCAGTTGTCTTTAATCAGTTTTTCTGCTTTAATCTGCCTTTAATTAGCGTTTAATCTGTTGTCTTTAATCTGTTGCGCCTTTAATCATGATTACCTGCAATTGTCTTTAATCAGTTATGTCTTTAATCTGTTGTCTTTAATCTGTTGTCTTTAATCTGTTGTCTTTAATATGTTGTCTTTAATCTGTTGTCTTTAATCTGTTGTCTTTAATCTGTTGTCTTTAATCTGTTGTCTTTAATCTGTTGTTTTTAATCTGTTGTCTTTAATCTGTTGTTTTTAATCTATTGTCTTAAATCTGTTTTCTATAATCTGTTGTTTATAATCTATTGTGTTGTTGTGTTTTTAATATGTCTTTAATCTGTCTTTACCTTTAATTCGCCTTTAGTCTACATTTATACATTCTTTAAGCCGTCTTTAATTTGTCTTTAATCGGCTATTAAAATGCCATCTTTCTGTCTTTATCTTTAATCCGATTTCAATCTATACCTTTAATCAAATTTTAATTTGACTTTAATCAACTGTTAATATTCCTTTAAACTGTGTTTAATACCTTTAATCCGCTTTTAATCTACCTTCAATCAGTTTACAATCAGCGGTTAATATAGATATTCTATAATATAAGTATACATTTAAGCAATCTTTAATGGGTTTTTAACGCTTAACATTTTGAAAAAATAAACATTTTTGAACATTTTCAGGCGTGCTCTATCAATCGATACTCGATTTGCAAAAAATCGACGTCGCATCAGATCCGGGAATCCCCGATTATTCCGCGACGAAATTATCACCGGATTTGTCAACGGAATCGCCATATTTACAGTACCACCTGCAGCATCACAGTACCGTTCCCGCCAATTCTTTAATCTACACGAATTGGCTCGGATCCGCCGACGGTAAATCCCCTAGTCAATTGTTCGGATTACAAGGTAATACCAACTGTTTTATTCACTATTTTAATCACTATTTTAATTACTATTTTAATCACTATTTTAATCGCTATTTTAATCGCTATTTTAATCACTATCTTAATCACTATTTTAAACACTATTTTAAACACTATTTCAATCACTATTTTAAACATTAATTCAATCAGATTCAATTAATTTAATCAATCACTCTTATAAACACTGCTTTACTAATATGCTTTTCACTAATATAATCACTATTTTAATAACGATTTAATCATCGAATAAAAGTTTAATAAATTAAACATTAAATTTTAATGCCTATTTTATACACTAAATCAAATACTATTTTAATCACAGATGATTTATACTATTTGAATCATTCAATTAATCACTATTTTATTTAATAAATCAATCACAATTTTAAACACTATTTTGAATCACTGATTTAATCAGTACAGAAATTAATATAATCAATTAATTAACACCCTATATAGTTTTAGCGACAGAGGTGTATTCAGAAAATTTGTATATGCAAATTATTTGTATACCGATCTTTTATTTTGTTTGTAATTATTTTTTTTATATTCCTGAACACGGTAATGTTAAATGCAAAAAATCAACGCAATGACAACGCTTGTTAATCCAAAAAATGAGCATTTTTTAATTTCGAAAATTTCGGGATTGCGCAGCTTATAATATAAATACTAAATACATAATAAATCATAGAAAAAAGAACCTTTAAGACCACCCAGTAGTTGTAATTACGAAAATGATTACGACTTCAGGTCTAAAATAATGTTCAAACAAAATGTTTCGACCGATCTTCCCTCTACCTCTATACAGTCTACATATACAGAGTCTACCAGTACATACATGTCTATTAGTACCACAAATTTAATGGTTCTCCTACGAATCCGTTAGTCGATTATTGGAAAAACAAACTAAACTTAATAGTCGCCTTTGTCACCAATTAGCGATCACAAATAATAAAGACGTTTTTCTTATTTGCTTGGCAATTATCGAGTGTGCCACACATTCTATACGATTATATACGCTGCCTCGTTTACCCTTCTTTCATTTCCCAATCGAATGTCTATGTTATGCGTCAGAATCTGTCAATTCATATGTCAAAATGTGTCAATTTGACGGTTGAAGTCATACGTCAAACGTTAATGTGTCAATTTGACTGAATTCATACGTCAAAATCGGTCAATTCACACGTAAAAATCTGTCAATCATACGTCAAAATCTGTCAATTTGCGGATATCAGATGTCAGAATGGTAAAGTCTTTCTCATTTATAAAATCTTGAAAAATACTTGAATTCTGAAATTTAGAAAAATACTGTAAAAAACCCGAAATTTCGAATGCAAAAACCTTTTAAATCATCTAAAAAATCGACTAATTTAGTAGAATATTGAAATAAAATCGTTATATTTACATTTATAAAATTTAGAGTTTATTTATTAACAATTTATATTTATAAAATCTTGAAAAATACCTAAAAAATTTACTTAGAAATTTATTTAGAAATAAGGTACTGTAAAAAATCCCAAATTTTAAATGCATAAATTTTGGTAAATCATCTAAAAAATCGACTAATTTAGTAGAAAATTGTTAAATTTATATTTATAAAATTTAGAATTTATTTATTTACAATTTGCATTTATAAAATCTTGAAAAATACCTAAACAATTTACTAATTTAGAAAAATACTGTGAAAAAATCCGAAATTTTGAATGCACAAATTTTGTTAAATCATCCAAAAAATCGACTAATTTAGTATAGAATATTGAAAGAAAAACATTAAATTTATTTATAAAATTTAGTATTTATTTATTTACAAATTGCAGTTATAAAATCTTGAAAACTACCTTAAAAATTTTGAATGCATAAATCTTTTAAATCATCTAAAAATTCGACTAATTTAGTAGAATATTAAAAAAATGCCTATTTTACATTTCAAAAATTTAGATTTTATTTTATTTACAATTTACATTTATAAAATCTTGAAAAATACCTAAAAAATTTACTAATTTAGAAATATACTGTAAAAAAAACGAAATTTTCGATACAAAAATCTTGTAAAATCATCTTAAAAAATCGACAAATTAACCTAATCAAATTTCCATGCACAATTCAAACTTTAAACGTCAAATTGACACTTCAAACGTCAAAACCCGCTAAACACGGCGCCCCCTATCAAATCGAACAACGCAAACCAAACCAAACCAAACCATAAAAAAAAACCAATTAGAAACAATCCCACTAACAAGGACGAGAGAACACAAGACAAAAATAACTCACCGGGACTCCATTCGCCCGGCCGCTGGATAGTTCCATTTATTAACAGGATTTTTATCATTTAACGCGCCCGGGCTCCCGAACAAAACGCGCCCGTTTCGCAATTAATAACATAATAGGGAGGAAAATTGTTGTTCATTACGTGCGGCGCGAATGCCCCTCGGGGGGGAGAGAGAGAAACGGAACGGGGGGGAATCCAAGTATAGGGGGATGGATGGAAGATGGAAAAGGGACGAAGGGAGGGCTCTGGCGAGAAGGGCGAAAATGGGCGAATGGCGTGCGGATTTTAATCGAGCGAAAAGAGACTGTTGAGGTGTCGACCGGACAAAATCCGCAAATCGCTTTTGCCAATTATGGTTTATTGAAGGGGGAACGCGTTCGTGCTGCGAGATGCTCATCTGCAGATGGGATTTTTCATTTCTTCTTATTTCTTCTTACTTTCTTTTTTCTTCTGTTTGTATGATTTTTAATTGTTCTTGTTACCTACCTATACAAGGTTTTTTTTGTACCAATTAGAAATGTACTATGTAGTATATACAAATTGCTTCAATTCAGACCGCGACATGGTCGTTTCTATGAGTTGAACAAAGAAAGATTAATGAAATAATAGTTGTCAGAGTGAAAAGTTGCAATGACACAAATGTCACTCTTTCTTTTTCTTTTGTAAGTGTCTAATGGATGTTGTCTTTATCACACCAATAGCCTCTATGTGTAATCTATGTTGGTTTTTGGAATGAAGCACAGTGTATAAACTATATTTGTGAGCTAAAAATTAAAATTTATTTTATTTGGCATTAGACACATTAACACGCATTAAATTGCATTAGAATGCATTAAAACGCATTAGATCGCATTAGAACGCATTAAAACGCATTAAAATGAATCAAATCTCATTAAAAACTTATTCAAACTGCAATAAAACACATTAAAACGTATTAAATTGCATTAAAATGGATTAAATCTCTTTAAAAACTTATTCAAATTGCATTAAAACGCATTAAAACGCATCAAAACTCCCTGTGCGTTTATTATTATTGCATTAAAACCTATTAAAACGCATTAAATCGCATTAAAATGAATCAAAAGTCTTTAAGAACTTATTCAAATTGCATTATAAAGCATTAAAACGCATCAAAACTCCCAAAGCGTTTATTAAAATTGCCTTAAAATCTATTAAAACGCATTAAATCACATTAAAACGCATTAAAACTCCCAAAGCGTTTATTAAAATTGCCTTAAAATCTATTAAAACGCATTAAATCGTATTAAAACGCATCAAAACTCCCTGAGCGTTTATTAAAATTGCATTAAAACGCATTAAAACGCACAGTAATTTTACTATACTAATAAATTTTTTGAAACCGCCGTACAGGACCGAAACCGTCGAGCCGACGTTCGCGCAAACCCGGCCTCGACCGCAAACCGCGCCAAGCGTACAGCGCCAAGCAGCTGGAGCGGCTCGAAACGGAATTCAAAATCGACAAGTACCTGAGCGTCAGCAAGCGCATGGAGCTGAGCAAGGCGCTCGCCCTCACCGAGGTCCAGATCAAGACGTGGTTCCAGAACAGGCGCACCAAGTGGAAGAAACAGCTCACCACCAGATTGAAGATGGCCCAGCGCCAGGGCCTGTTTCCGGCGCACTATTTCGCCGCCTCCGCCGCCGCCGCCGCCGCCTCCGCCGGTCAGCACTACGCCGCCCTGTTCGCGCCCTACTGCACGCCGCTGGGCTGCGTGTTCGGCGTCCCGACGGCGGAGGACGCCGCCGCCGCCGTCGCCGCCTCCGCTTCGACGCCGGAGCCATCTAGACGAGGCTCGTGACTCTACGCCAATTGCGAGACTGGATGTCTGCATTAAGGGAAGGTCATAAGAGCGGTGTTGTTTAATTTGGCCTTGTACTTATGCAGGTATCCAGTTGAAAGCTCTATCCAGTTGAAGGTTCGATTGAAAGTCGACTGGCTGGATGTCTAAATGGGCAAAGGGCCACAATATGAGTCTTGTGTACTTCGGTACTATGCCTATGCAGGTATCCAGTTGAAAGCTCTATCCAGTTGAAGGCTCGATTGAAAGTCGACTGGCTGGATGTCTAAATGGGCAAAAGGCCACAATATGAGTCTTATGTAATTCGCTACTATGCCTATGCAGGTATCCGGTCAGTTGAATGCTCGATTTTAAATCGACTATGGCTGGATGACTAGATGAACAAGAGGCCATAAGTCTTATAAAATTCGGTCTTGTGCTTATGCAGGTATCCAGTCAGTTGAAAGCTCGATTCAAAGTCGACTGGCTGTATGTCTAAACGAGCGAAAGGCCATACATTTTGGTTCTTCTTGGGATTTTATGGGGCCTTGTCTGTGCGTAAATATCCGGCCAGTTTCTAACGTCACTGTATTGTGAAACCGTAATGGAACTTGTCAATGTCGAGTGACGTTTGACGTTTGACGTTTGTTTGCAAAAACTCGACCAAACTTGTTGATTTGTCCCTTGCAGACTGTAATTTTTGTTTATTTTTTAAATACGTACGTGTAAATACATATTGATTAGAAGGAAATTTTGTCGTTTTGATTACATAAACATGTTTTTTTTGTTTTGGTCATTTTTTTAGGAGTCAAGACCTTTCATTTGAACGTAATGTCGATGGGATTATAACGTATCGAATGTCCGCCATTTTGAATCGCCGCCATTATGACATAAACAAGTTTTTTTTTTGTTTTATTCATCTTATATGGAAGTCAAGATCTATACATGATCATATACAAGGTAAAAACAAACACTATACGATAAACTAGAACTTTTATTTGTGCTTTACATCGTTTTAAATTAAAATCGACAATTTACACTAGAAATTTAAATCTAAAATAAATAAATATCGTCTAGTAGGTATACAGGGTGTAAAGTAAACACAAAAAAAATATAATTTATTCTTATACGTATATAAATCTCATGCAAAAATAGTGAGTGCTATATTGCGTACTCTTTTCATTTTTCGCGTATATAGGTAAATTCATTTCTCTTTATCTACAGTAACAGTTTAATAAATGTACAATTATCACAATAGTAGGTATTAATACCGTGTATACAGGGTGTTAATTAATTGTACGCCGATACTTCAGCATGTGAATATTTGGATGATTTTAAGAAGAAAAGTTTATATCAATGTATGTCCTAAACCTCTTAGTTTTCGAGCTAAAGGGTGTTAAACTTTTCTTCTTAAAATCAATCAAATATTCACATCCTGAAGTATCGACATTTAATCAATTAACACCCTGTATATCGAAAAAATCTAGAGCTCGAGATGGGTAACAATATAATGACAATTGACAATTTTGACGCATCGACATACCATTCGGCGGAGACTGCATTTAAGTCGTTTGTCAAACGACGAAACGTCAATTATGTTGATCTAGTGTGCGTGATCGTCTAGAAAAAGTATCTCATCGTATAAACTTTCAAACACGGCATTTTATTCGTATATGTTTCGTAAATTCTTCTATTCCAACGAGCCTTTGCCCGTGCTGGGCAACAGCAAACACAGCAAACCGCTCACTGAAACAACAAAACAACGTCGGAAATTAGTATGTCATGCATCTGTCATTTTGACATACAATTGACAGATGTCGAAAAACGCAAAACGCCGTCGGAAAACAATTCGTATATCATCTATCTGTCATTTTGACATACTACAATTGACAGATGTCAAAAACTTACCGAGTAACATCGAAGCGAACAGTACGATCGGTATGACGCAATTCAAATCGATCAGAAAGCCGAAGAGCAAGTTACCGATCAGAGCGCCCCCTCTGCCGAACGTCAACGACAAAGCCGCCGCCATTACTCTAAAAAAAATTAAAGATTTCTCATCGTATCGCCCTGTATACATTGTGATTTGTCGTTTGGGAATATGACATTTGGAAATATGACAGTTGAGAATTTGATATTTGGGATAAAGGCATTTGGAAATAGGACATTTGGGAATAGGACATTAGGAAACATGACATTTGGAAATGACATTTGAAAATATGACAGTTGAGAATTTGATATTTGGGATAAAGGCATTTGGAAATGGTACATTTGGGACATTTGGGACATTTGGGATAAAGGCATTTGGAAATGGGACATTTGGGAATAGAACATTTGGAAATGACATTTGAAAATATGATATTTGGGATAAGGGCATTTGGAAATGGGACATTTGGGAATAGAACATTAGGAAACATGACATTTGGAATTGACATTTGAAAATATGACAGTTGGAAATTTGACATTTGGAAGTTTGACATTTGACAATCTGGCAATTTGACACTTGTCGATCTGGCATAAAATGTCAATTCGACATTTGAAAATATGACAGTAGGAAATTTGACATTTCACATTAGTACCGAATTTCGTTCAAAAGTTGTCTCTGTCGCACCCGTATCGCCTAAAAATATTTCAATTAGTAGTACCTCAAATTAGTCGGAAACAAATCGACCATGACGCAGTAGACGGTACTGATGCCCAAACTAGTCAGAGCCTCGAATATACACGATAGTACCAAATTGGCCGTCGTCGAACTGACGAAATACAGCCCAATGGTCACCCCTCCTGCCACTATTAAACTGAAAACTGCCAAAGAAATAAACACCAAATTAATTCAGTACTAAGTACCGTTCGAATCTAGTACACCGTCCCAAAAGTAGTACTCACCCAAAAAAAACTTGGCGCCCAATCGATGGACGCACAAAGGCAGCCAAAAACTGGTCGGTATGCAGGCGACGCCGATGATCAGAGTGTGCAGGAACACCGAATCTGCGATGGGGGCGCCGCAGAACTCCTGCTCGTCGCCCAATGTCGCGTTGCCCGACAGCACCACCGATGACACCTCGCAGACGGTCGCCCGCTCGTCCGGGTGCTTGTTCTCGAACTCCTCGAAGCGATAGAACAACTCCGGAAACCAGATCATCAACGTGTAATAGCTGGAATTTTTTGACATTGGGCTATTATTATTTTGAATTTTCAACAATGGGCTATTGTTATTTTGAAGGTTTAAGATTGCGCTATTGGTTTTTTGAAGGTTTAACATTGGGCTATTAGTCTTTTGAATTTTTAACATTGGGCTATTATTTTTTTGAATGTTTAACATTGAGCTATTATTATTTTGAATGTTTAACATTGGGCTATTGGTCTTTTAAATTTTTAACATTGGGCTATTAGTCTTTTGAATTTTCAACATTGGACTATTATTATTTTGAATATTTAACATTGGGCTATTAGTCTTTGGAACGTTTAACATTGGGCTATTATCCAATTCGGCTATTTAACATTGGGCTATTGGTCTTTTAAATTTTTAACATTGAGCTATTATTATTTTGAAGGTTTAAAATTGGGCTATTGGTCTTTTGAATTTTTAACATTGGACCATTAGTCTTTTGAATTTTCAACATTGAGCTATTATTATTTCGAACGTTTAACATTGGACTATTGGTCTTTTGAATTTTTAACATTGGGCTCTTGTTCATCTGAATCGAGCCATTTGACATTAGGCTATTTGACATTCGTCTATTTAGCATTGGGTTATTTCACAGATGTTCGAAGATAGGCTATTAACAATTGACCATTTAAAATTTAAATTATTTTACATTGGGCTATTATACATTCGGCTATCTAACATTGGACAATTTAACAGTAGGATCCTTAACATTGGGCAGTTTAAATATAAGATCCTTAACATTGGGCTATGAATATTCGACCATTTAAAATTCGGCTGATGTTTTTAACATTGGGCAATATGACATTAGGCTGTTTAAATTTAAACGATCATTGGGCGATTGGGCGACGATTAAAAAAAAACCTCTCACCTGGTGGTCAATCCGAACTGTATGATGCACGTCAAGATGGTGTACCTGAGATGAGGGGGGCTGCACAACGCCTTCGTTTGCTCCCATATCTCTCTGAGCAGCAATTTCAACTCCTTGGGCTTCCTGATCCGCAGGCTGCGGATGCTCCGCGTGCTCTGCTGGGATATCACGCTCATCGTGCGCACCTTTTCGCGCAGGCTCAATATCTACAACGAAATGTCATAATTTGACATATATTTGACATATTTGACACATTTGACACATTTGACAGATATTTGACTCATTTTAAACATTTGAGAGATATTTGACATGCGATTTGACAGAAAATTGACAGATATTTGATAGAGATTTGACACATTCGACAGATATTTGATAGAGATTTGACACATTTGACAGATATTTGACTCATTTGAAACATTTGACAGAGATTTGACAGTGATTTGACAGAAAATTGACACATATTTGATAGAGATTTGACACATTTGACAGATATTTGACACATTTGACATATTTGACTCATTTCACACCTACATACGACTCAATTCGACCCTATCAAAAAAAAAAAAAAAAAAAAAAAAAAAAAAAAAAAAAAAAAAAAAAAAAAAAAAAAAAAAAAAAAAAAAAAAAAAAAAAAAAAAACTTACCGGAAAATTGGCGCCGTCGTCGCCCGTATTCGTAGCGTACATGTCGCGCAGAACGTCGAGCGCCTCGTCGGCCTCGCCGCACTCCAACAGAAATTTCGGACTTTCGGGGAACAACAACAACCAAGCGCCGATGAGCAGGCTGGGCGTCGAGCACGTCGCCACGAACAGATTCCAACTCTTGAACTTGAACCCGTCGGTGACGTATTCGAATTCGAGCGGTATGATCAACCAGGCGATGCCCGGCAGGGCGATCACGCCCAACGTCCAGAACAATTCCATCCAGCAGAGGATCGTTTCGCGGTACTTGTTCGGCTGGAACTCGCCCAAATACGGGAAGCAGATGCCCATCGCGCCGGTTATGCTGCGCATATATCATTTTATATGAGGATGCATGGTTTTTTTTATAGTGGACGTACAGAAAATGGTTGAGCTATGCACATTGAGACTTGAAGAAATTGCAGTTATATTGAGATATGCAACACAAAAATTGCAGAAAGTTGAGATATGCACAGGTGACTTGAAGAAATTGCAGTTATATTGAGATATGCAACACGACAATTGCAGAAAGTTGAGATATGCACAGGAGACTTGAAGAAATTGCAGTTATATTGAGATAAGCACAAGTTTATAAAAATATATGTAAGATAGTTGAGCTATGCACAGAAGGATTGCAAAAATTACAGAATTATTGTTGAGTATAGTAGTTGAGATATGAGCCGGAAAATAGAAGAAATTTTAGATTTATCGAGATATGCATCGGACACTACTTGATGTATGCATGAAGATTCTTCTTCATTTTTATCCTCTTGTTGAAATATTTGAGCGGTACTTACGCGAAACCGTTGAGGAATCTCATGAGCATAAACAGCCAATAGACTTGAGATATGCTGGATAACAGTCCGCATATTCCGTCCATCATTAGAGCACCGATCAGAACGACTTTTCTACCTTTCGTATCAGCCAGGCAACCCCAAAAATACGAGCCAATTACCATCCCTGTAACGCAAACATAATATTTGAAATATGCTGTAGAGACCAATTTTATGCACAATATAAAGGCAGCTAGTAGGTCAATTTTATGTCCAATTTGAAGGCAGTAAGTCAACACTATGCACATTTTGAAGGCAGTAAGTCAATTTTATGTTCAATTTAAAAGCACTAAGTCAACATTAAGAACATTTTGAACACTGTTCGTCATCTTTATGTATATTCTAAAGGCAGTAAGTCAACTTTATGTCCAAGATAAAGGCAGTAAGTCAATTTTATGTTCAATTTGAAAGCACTAAATCAACATTAAACACATTTTGAACACTGTACGTAAGCTTTATGTATATTCTGAAGGCAGTAAGTTAACTTTATGTCCAATATAAAGGCAGTAAGTCAACTTTATGTCCAATTTAAAAGCACGAAGTCAACATTAAACACATTTTGAATACTGTACGTCATCTTTATGTATATTCTAAAGGTAGTAGGTCAATTTTATGTCCAATTTGAATGCAGTAGGTCAATTTTATGTCCAATTTGAAGGCAGTAAGTCAATTTTATATTCAATTTGAAAGCACTAAGTCAACATTAAGAACATTTTGAACACTGTACATCATCTTTATGTATATTCTAAAGGCAGTAAGCTAACTTTATGTCCAATATAAAGGCAGTAAGTCAACTTTATGTCCAATATAAAACCAGTAAGTCAACTTGACGCACATTACCAAACGCCTGGGTAAACTTTCGTCGATCGTAGATCGATTTTAGGTAGATTTCGAAGTGCGCTGGTCAATTGTGAAGAGTGTAAGGTCAATGGTAGGTCAATTTAGAGGACATCGGGGTCAATTGGGGTCCATCTTTATGTATATTCTGAAGGCAGTAAGTCAACTTTATGTCCAATTTGAAAGAACTAAGTCAACTTTAAGCACATTTTGAACACTGAACGTCATCTTTTTGTATATTCTAAAGGCAGTAAGCTAACTTTATGTCCAATATAAAACCAGTAAGTCAACTTGACGCACATTACCAAACGCCTAGGTAAACTTTCGTCGATCGTAGATCGAGTTTAGGTAGATTTCGAAGTGCGCTGGTCAATTGTGAAGAGTGTAAGGTCAATTGTAGGTCAATTCGGAGGACATCGGGGTCAATTGGGGTCTACTTACCAAGCATAGGGGCTGCGGTAAGCCACCCCTTGTCCGCTGAGGACATCTGGAAGTCGCATGTCGCTGAAGGTAACACGAACGATATGATCGTTATGCCGATGGCGGTGTTCAAATAAATCAAACCGCATATGGTGAGTAGAGAAAAATGGAATTTGCCGAAACCTGCGGTGGAGAAATGTAATGTGTAATACGGTAATAAAAGGAAATGGATAGTTGTTAATTAAATCGATTGTATGCGTTAATTATATATCGCATTGTGTTTTGAACGGTGTTTGGAAATAAATGTGTTTATGGAGGTTGTAAAAGTTTAATTCTTTTTTTTTTTTTGTATTTAATCGCGCGAGGACCGGCGATTTTGCGTGGGATTGTTCGAGTAGCTTCTTTCTATTTGGTAGATTGATTTGAATAATAAACTTGATCGAATTGGATATTTTTTTAAGCCGTTTCTGTTTCTCTGTTTCTCCGAGGTGGAGCAATTTTTTTTTATTATTTGAAATAGTTTTAAAAATATGGGTGAATGTAGAATGTTTTGATTTATTTTGAGCTATTTTTTAATCATCTAAAAATAATTAAAAATGGTGAATATAAATTAAATTTTTGAGACATTTCTTGTTATTAAAAATAATTTTAGAAATTTGATGAGTTTTCAAATGTAAAAAAAAATAAATTTCAAACAAATTGCATTTTTTTTATTTTTTGAGCTACTTGGTTTTTCTTTTGTTCTGAGCCATTTTTTACTATACAGGGTGTTCCTAAACATCGTCTACTTCCGAAAGGGGGTGGTTCCTTGGTTTATTTTATGACTAAAAGTTCATAAAAACGTGGGTCTGCAAACGTTTCGTTATCGATCTACAGGGTGTTGAAATTTTAATTTTTTTTTGTTTCTTTTTTAGAGCTCTGCAGTTTTTGAGATATTTAGCTCAAATTCGGTTTAGAATATAGAGTATAGAGTGTTATTTGAGTAGGAGGGGGTCACTTTCAACATTTATTATAATGTAATTTAATAATTATTATTTAGGGTTTTTCTTTTGTAAAGTAAATCATTTGTACAGAAAATCATTTTTAATTTTTTTCTCGATAACGGTCACAGAAACGAAAAAAGTTTAAAAATAAAAAAGTTTCTAAACAAAACAGACAATTAATTTTGTATTTTAGAATCTACCAGCGGCGCACAGCAAAAAAGTTCGGCGAAAAAAGGGTACATTACCCCTGAAAAAATATCACCCTGTAGAATTCAACAAACATATCTGATATACCCAATAATGTGTGCCCTATAAAGCAATCTAGATTCAAAATTTGCGCTAAATATCTCAAAAACTGCAGGAGCTTTAAAAAAGAAACCAAAAAAAATCTTGAAATTTCAACACCCTGTAGATCTTTACATGAACTTTTAGTCATAAAATATGCCAATGAATCACCCCATTTCGGATGTACACGATGTTTAGGAACACACTGTATATTTAAAATAATTTCAAAAAATATGATACCTACCTAAACGCCAATTTTCTTTCGTATTTTGAGATATCATTGTTTAATGAAAAAACCCCTAAATTTCAATTAATACCACTTTATAAAACCGGTAATTTCCATAAAAATTTCCAAAATTCCAACAAATCACCACAACAACAACGCGACCAGTTTCACAAAATCCAAAATTATCTACAACAGGTAGGTACTCACCGGTACTTTCTAAAGCCCTTTCGAAATCCTCACCTTGACCTTCGATAAAATCCAACCCTAAAACAAACCACCAACAATTACAAAAAAAATAAATTACCTACCAAAAACCAAACAAACAAAACAATATAAGTACCCATTTTAATCCAACCAACAACACATGTACTACAAAAAAAGTACTACCAAAAACTAAACTACAAACACACACATCGACCCGAACACTCGGTATAATTCTATCGCACTGGACTCGCAATATTTTCGCTACAATTTTAACAATATCCCAGTACCACCGGAGCACCAGTACTGCCAGTACCTGCCATGTTATTTACGCCTATATATCTCTCGCCTTCGGCCGGGACCTTTCGCTCTTTTCGCACGCTAGATTTCGCTTCGAGCTCTTCAATAACGGCCTGCTGGGACCATCGCAGAAGGCGCTTATACAGGGCGTCCCGGCGATTCCATCGTGGAAAATAATGGAAAATAAATGGATAATGATAATAATGCGTGGAAATTGCTCGAGCTTGGTGGTTGTGGATAACCGCCGGTCGCCGTCGGATTGATATTAGAGCGGTCTGAAGGGGTTGTATTTTTAGAGACGAATCGATTGGGACAATAATTGTCTGATTAGATGGGCCGGACTCGGTTCTGGGGGGATAAATTCGGTTCGGAAAATGCTGGTGCTCGATGGTGTACTTGGGGAATGGTGACTCTTTGAATTACCCTCGTATAGTTCTTAAATATACGGGGTGTGCGAATGAAAAGTAGTCCATTTAGTGACTTGTTTCCAAAATTTGTCGACTTGTTTTTTATTTTTATCGATTTATTTCCAAAGTTTGTCGACTTGTTTCCAAAATTTGTTGACTTGTTTCTACTCTTTATCGACTTGTTTCCAATATTTGTCGACTTGTTTCTGCTCTTTGTCGACTTGTTTTCTATTTTTGTCGACTTGTTTCTGCTCTTTATTGTCTTGTTTCCTATTTTTGTCGACTTGTTTCCAATATTTGTCGACTTGTTTCTGATCTTTATCGACTTGTTTCCAAAGTTTGTCGACTTGTTTCTGCTCTTTGTCGACTTGTTTCCAAAATTTCTCCACTTGTTTTCTTTTTTTTTGTCGACTTGTTTCTGCTCTTTATCGACTTGTTTCCAAAGTTTGTCGACTTGTTTTTAAAAACTGCATGTTTTTATGACTAGGCGTTTAAAAATTATAAGCTCATTAAAGGGGCTACTTTTTATTGGGACACCCTGTATCTTGATATTGGTTAATGACAATTTTGGTAAAACGTACTTAATGTGGTTTAATTTCAACTTTTGTCGACTTGCTTTCGATCTTTTATCAATTTGTATCTCAATAACTAGAAGTTTATAACAGGATATAATAATAATAATAATGCCTTTATTTACAGTTCGTTATATGCAAACAATATTGAATTTAATGAGGCGAAGCCTTGCCTATGATACTCAACTTAATCTCAAGTTAAAAGATGTTGACAATAATATAATAATCGTATAGGTAACTATGGTTAGATAACAATAATAATAAAATGAAAATATAACAATATATGAAAAAAGAGTTTAAAAGTTGTTAGGTTTAATTTAAACAAATGACTGTCGTATTTTTTTATTTCATAACTATTGTTTTTTTTTTTATAAATGGTTTGTATTAGTAGGTATAGTATAAATATTATCTCTGTTTTCATTATCTCTCGTTTTTTGCCCCAATGTGCTGTAAAACATACATGTATATGTAACATGGTCAAATGAAATTTACTTCCTTACTTATTTCAGCCCTTTATCGACTGGTTTTCGCTTTTTGTCGACTTATTTTCACTATTTGTCGACTTGTTTTCACTATTTGTCGACTTATTTTTACTATTTGTCGACTTGTTTTCACTAATAATCGATTTGTCGGCTTGTTTTTATTTTTCATTGGCTCTTTTGCCCTTTTGTCGACTTGTTTCCAATGTTTCTTGACTTGTTCTTACTCTTTATCGACCAGCCTCTGATTTTTATCGACTTATTTTCACTATTTGTCGACATGTTTTCATTTTTCATTGGCTCTATTCCCTTTTCCCCTTTTGTCGACTTGTTTCCAATGTTCCTTGACTCCTTCTTACTCTTTATCGACTAGCTTATGCTTTTTATCGACTTGTTTTCACTATTTATCGACTCTTTTCCCCTTTTATCGACTTATACTCGACTTCTAGTCGACTTGTTTCCACATTTCTTCCGATTATTTCGGCGTTTCATTCGCGTTTTTACTTGTTTCCAATTTTTGCCGACTTGTTTACGATGTATTTAAGAGAGTCCGGTCCTGAGCCGAGCGAGAAATAATTATTTAATTGTCCGTGTGTGTGCTCGAATAAACGGTTCGATGTTTGATTGTATTATTAAGATGTGTATACGCATTGAAAAATAAAAAATAAAGGTCGTTACGAATACATTTTTAATTCAGTTCGTTAGAAGATCGATGTAAATTTAAATTAATTAGGTACCGATACTTTGAATTTTTAATAAGCAGGGTTGTTGTTTTTTTAGGTCGGTATGTTTTACATCTGAAAATCTTGAACATGTTTCCAAACTTTGTCGACTTGTTTTCAAAGTTTGTCGACTTGTTTCCAAAATTTGTCGACTTGTTTGCAAAATTTCTCGACTTGTTTCTGCTCTTTATCGACTTGTTTCCAAAGTTTGTCGACTTGTTTCCAAAATTTGTCGACTTGTTTCTGCTCTTTATCGACTTGTTTCCAAAGTTTGTCGACTTGTTTCCAAAATTTGTCGACTTGTTTCTGCTCTTTATCGACTTGTTTCCAAAGTTTGTCGACTTGTTTCCAAAATTTCTCGACTTGTTTCTGCTCTTTATTGACTTGTTTCCTATTTTTATCGACTTGTTTCCAAAGTTTGTCGACTTGTTTCCAAAATTTGTCGACTTGTTTCATCTTTTTAGCGACTTGTTAGTTGTTATCGATATACGAAAAGGCGAGAAAAATCCCGCCGTCTAGAAATCGAAATCGATCAAAGTCGGCCGGGAAACGATATTATTCAATGAAATCGAATTAGTGTCAGTGACAATCGATTAAGTTACGAACATAATCGATGACAGGGTCGTGCGTGCACCGGAATGATAACTAACTACTTATACAGTGCATTTCTTTAATGTCCCCCCCCCTTTTATTTTTTGAACGGGTCAACTTAGAAAATTGAAATTTGGGATAATGAAACTAATGCATGATTACTATATTTTGGAGTAAAATTGACAGACGAAAATTTCAAGATGGCGACTGGGCGCCATCTTGGAAAATAAATTTAAATGGAAAGGGGGGTCTTGTGATACATCATTTTGAAGCTCCTGACAAATACTCTACAACCCTGGAATATAAAGTCAATATCTGCACCTGCTACAAAATGGCGGACATTTAATAATTACCTGAATAAATCGACGTTTAACGTCATAATTTGAGGAAATAAGCTGAGTTCTGTTCAAAAAAAGCTCGAAATGGTTCCCTTGAACTTCTTGATACAAGAACAGCCTATCCGAACATTTTCGAACATAGTAACGTCGATATTTTTACAAATATCTGTAATTATTTCTCGTATATCCAATATTGAAGCAGGTTTAGTTTCGTACACATTTTGCTTCAAATAGCCCCATAAAAAAAAGTCTAAAGGTGTCAAATCTGGTCAAATCCATTCCGTAGGACCTCGACGACCAATCCAACGATCCAACGACCAGGGAAAATAGCATCCAAATAGTTCATTACTTGTCTGGAGTAATGTGGTGGTGCTCCATCTTCCAATGGACGAGAATTGGCCATTTTAGAGTTAGTTGACTTGCTACCTAACTGCAATGAGAACTAAACAACCGAAAACTAAATGAAAATACTTTGAACACTGGGAGAATCGAAAACTAAAGAGAATATTTTGAACACTAGGAAAAACAAAAACTAAATGAGCATATTTTGACTAAACAATTAATGTTCGTTGTCGTACTTAAATTTTTTGGAATTTTTTTAACCAAAAATAACCTGTCAAACCTTATCGGTTTGCTGGGATTGCTGTTTGCCATAGAAAAACAAATATTTCTAGAAAAATTGATATTATTTTGTTTGTATTCAGGTAATTATTAAATGTTCCGCCATTTTGTAGCAGGTGCAGATATTGACTTTATATTTCAGGGTTGTAGAGTATTTGTCAGAAGCTTCAAAATGATGTATCACAAGACACCCCTTTCCATTTAAATTTATTTTCCAAGATGGCGCCCAGTCGCCATCTTGAAATTTTCATCTGTCAATTTTACTCCAAAATATAGTAATCATGCATTAGTTTCATTATCCCAAATTTCAATTTTCTAAGTTAACCCGTTCAAAAAATAAAAGGGGGGGGGGACATTAAAGAAATGTACTGTATAAAACGAAAATATCGCAAAAACAATGTGTGTTGAAATTTTGCATATTCGTTTTGGTTTTTTATTTATAGACGAAACGAATTTGTTCTACTCATTTTGAAGTTTTACTTAATTAACTATAATTACTGATCATTAAGTCACTAATTACCTAATTTTAACCGACTTGTCGAGTCACAATTTACCCATTTTAATGGACTTGTTACTTAATTAAGTCACTAATTACCAAATTTAACCCACTTGCAATCTGTTTATGTACAGTTTTTTTCCATATTTATCGACTTGTCATTCGATTTATTACCCAATTTAGGCAAATTTACGCCCCATTTCCTTGCCCAAATCAAATCGATTCGTATACATTCGCACCCTTTCGTAAGAAAGAGAGAAGATGAAAACCTTCGGCGAATAACAATCGAAAAAACGGAAATAAAATTCAATTATTTCGGTATTGTATATGTGAAATCGAGGAAGCCGTGGAAGCGGCTTAAGCCAATTACCCGGAGCCCCGTCAGCCGGGCTTATCTTTGATGGCGGAATCCTGAATCCTGAGCTATTATTGGAATCGGAGCGAAATAAATTCGTATAGCCGGAAAAATACGAAAGATTGAATCGCCCTGTATACGTCGATCGGTACAGAAAATTGTCCTCTACAATTTTCCGAGTATGGAAAATTTTCGAAAAACTCGTAGTTTTCGAGTTATTTCGATTTTTCGATAAACAAAACGAGACTATAATCAATATCCTGCGTTTTCGTTTCCTTCGGCATACGTTTTGAGCTTATAAAAAGTAATTGTAGTAATTGGAGTAATTAAAATTATTTGAATAAATTGTTTGTCATTTTTGATTAGGTAATTAAGTATCATCTCTGGTCAATTAAGTATCGTGTTTTGTTCGATCCAGCATTTTATGATTAATTAAAAGTCATCTTGGGTCAATCAAGTATCGCTTTTGGTTAATTTAGTGACATTTTTGATTAATTAAGTATATTTTTTTGTCAATTAGTGTAATTTTATGGGCAATTAAGAGGCGTTTGTGATTAATTAAGGGGTATTTTTGGTTAATTAAGTGTCATCTTAGGTCAATGAAGTATCGTTTTTGGTTAATTAAGATGATAACAAAAAAAACGAAAAATAATCCCAGCACATATACGGGGCGCCGTGAATAATTAAAACGAATCTATTTCCAGTACCGGCTCGAATAATTCATCGGCGAACTTGGAATCGAAAAAATCAACAAATTCTTAATTGAATTTATTAGAAGCGAATTCGATCAAATATTTAAATATCGGTTTTCCCGGGGTAAAAAAAATACCGGACGGGGCCAGGGCCGGAGCGGCTCTTCGACCCTTCCCTGACTCAGATCCGATGAAAATGGGAAAAGAGAAGTCGGGCGGGCCCGGTCCTTTATCGAATCCCTTAATTTCCGAGGAAAATGGGAAAAATAAAACGGGGCCCGGTCCGGCCCTGAGCTCTTCGGCCCTTCCCTGGCTCAGTTCGGAGGGAAATGGGAAAAGAGAAGTCTAAGCGGATCCGGTCCATTATCGAATCGGGCGAGCCCGGCCCTGTGTTGTTTAATTTCCGAGGAAAATGGGAAAAATAAAACGGGGTCCGGTCCGGCCCTGGACGGCCGGGCGCCTTCGAAGAAAGTGGTCAAGATCGACGGCAATTCGAACTTGACTTAACGTTAACCGCGCGCTCGCGTAAGGAGACGTACAAGGCCGGATTTTTGTCTACAGAGTGTCCCAAAAATAGGGTCGCTATTTGGGGTCATTTTTGTTCGATTAGAAGTGCCATCTTTGGGGTAAATTTAGCGCTATTTTTGTTCGATTAAGTGTCGTTTTAGGTCAATTGTACGTCATTTTCGATCGAACTTGTCATTTTGAATCAATTAAATTAATTTTCTCATCAATCTTTTATCAATTAGGGTCATTTTAGGTCAATTAAATGTCATTTTTGGTCAATTAATTGCTCTCATTTAAGAGTTCTCAATTAAGAAAGATTTCTCCAATTAAGCGCATTTAAGTTCGAGAAATCTTCAATTAAGAACAATAAATCTCCAATTAAGCACAATTAAGTTAGAGAAATCTCCAATTAAGAACAATAAGTTTCCAATTAAGCGAATTTAAGTTCAAGGAATCTCCAATTAAGAACAATAAATCTGTAATTAAGCGCATTTAAGTTCGAGAAACCTCCAATTAAGAACAACAAATTTCCAATTAAGCACAATTAAGTTAGAGAAATCTCCAATTAAGAACAAAAAATCTCCAATTAAGCGCATTTCAATTTGAGAAATCTCCAATTAAGAAAAAAAATCTCCAATTAAGCATAATTTAGTTCATATGGTCCGACGAATTTCACTTAATTAACCAAACAAATTAACGCTTAATTAGCACGATAAAGCCGCGCTTAATTAATACATGAATATTTTAACAGCACATTTTAACAGCAAATATCGGCGCGAGAAGCTCGCGACGCGATTTTCCCGGGGAAAATCTCGCGAGGAAAGCGCAAGGCAATCAATCGGCTCAACCTAATTGACGACAGGCGGAAAAACCGTTCCGAGGAAAACCGTCCGGAAAAACAGTCCGGTTCGCGACCACGGACGATGCGAATCTCCGAACGGCCGGCGGAAAATCTCTCCGGAAAAACCTTCGTTTTTTGAAAATTTTCGCTGGCGCAAAAAACCATGGCGGAAAAGCTGCGAGAGTACGAAGGTTTGGCGGGCCGGTGGCATTCGTTGAGGGACGATTGGCGGGCCCGGCGGGACGCTTGGCGCGAGGAAAATCCCGCCGGATTTTCCGGATGGTTCAAGGAAAAGTGCTTTCCCACAGGCGGTGGTCCCGAGCTGGATTATTCGCACATATACAGGTGAATCTACAGGTGTTTTCCTTAGTTTTCACGTTTATTTAATACCAATTATGGTGAATGTTAATTAGTTAATTACTTAATTCGTGTGCCATATACTCAATTAAATTACCCACATGTTAATTACTTACTAGGAGTTTCTAATTTATCTGAGATTAGTTTTTTTTGTATTATTGGTAGATACTTAAAAATTCTGTCAATTAAGTACAAAAAAATGCCTCAAATCAGTGTAATTAAGAACATAAATCTAATAATAAACGCAATTAACGCCAAAAGCAGTTCAATTAAGTACAAATACAGTCAAATTAAGTGGAATTAAGATAAAAAATCTCCAATTTAGCGCAATTAAAAAACTCCAATTGAATGCAAAAATAGTTCCAATTAAGTCTCACAATTAATCTAAGTTCAAAAACATCTCCAATTAAGCGCGCGCAACTTAATTCAAGAAATCCCCAATTAAATTCAATAAAACTTTCCAATTAAGCGCCACAATTGTGTAAAAAATTACTATCCAATTAATTACAAAAAAACAGCCTCAATTAAGTGTAATTAAGAACATAAAACTAATATTTAGCGTAATTAAGTGCAAAAAATCTCCATTTGAATGCAATTTTTTTTCCAATTATCTGCCACAATTAACAATTAAAACAAAGTAAAGGTACAAAAACATCTCCAATTAAGCGCAAGTAAATTAAAGAAATCTCCAATTAATTAAGTACAATTAAGCGCTGCATTTAAGTAAAAAAAACCTCCAATTAAGTATTAACTACAAAAAAACAGCCCCAATTAAGCCGCCAATACGATTTATTCGCAGGAGAAAAACGACGCGCGAACTGGTGAGAGTATCGGCGGCGGTGATGGGCGTCGAATTTTCGTACGCCGCCGAGACGGCGTTCGTCTCGCCGACGCTGCTCAAGATCGGCGTCGAGCACGGTCGCATGACGCTCGTCTGGGCGCTGTCGCCGCTCATCGGCTTCTTCCTGACGCCGGTGCTCGGCTCGCTCAGCGACGGCTGCCGCTCCCGATGGGGCCGCCGTCGACCCTTCGTCCTCCTCATGTCCCTGGGCGTCGTTTTGGGTGAGTTTCCGCGACTCGGCGCCGCTCGGCGCTAGTCGGCGCTACTCGGCGCGATGCCTTTAGCGTGCGTAGGAAGTTTCTCTTGATTGTTTACTGTAGAAATGTGTTGGGGTGTTTGGGGGGAAGGGGCGCCGCTCGGCGCCACTTGGCGCCTCGGAGAAATTAACGGTTTTTTTTGCGTAGGGTTGATTTTAGTGCCGAACGGGGAGAATTGGGGATACGCGATGGGCGATCAGAGGCCGCCCGAGGCCAATTACCACAGGATATCCTCGCACAGGACGAGCGCCCGATCGGGGCCGATCGATTTTCGCGAGAACGCCACCGCTCGGGGGGCGGTGATAAACGAGACGTTCGCTTACGATGATGATGGTGATGATGATGATGAAAATTTACGGTCGTTCGTTCCTTATAACAATTCGCATCCTTGGGGCGTCCTTTTTACGATCCTCGGAACGGTGCTGTTGGATTTCGACGCCGACGCCTGTCAGAGTCCCGCGAGGGCTTATTTATTAGACGTCACCGTACCCGGTAGGTTTTCGCTATATAGCATCTTTTAAATTCATGAAAAATATTATTTTATTCTAATTTATACGAATCGTTGAAAAATTTAAATTAAAAGAAGAAAAAAATCTTTTTTTTTGAAAAATAACGCTTATTTTGTAACAGTCGTTACTGCACCTCTACACCAAAAAATTTATTGCCACCTCTATTAAACTTCCGTCATACGAAATGTCATTAATGTCAATTTGTAATTTTTCGTTCAATGTATCATCGAACGCATCTTAAAAAAAGTCCCACTTATTCGCATATACATGGTGTTCCCAAACATCGTGTACATCCCAAAAGGGGGTGATTCCTTGGTTTATTTGATCCCGATTTAATCTCGGCTTAATCCCGGATCAAAGTTGATCCGCGCACGAGCAACCGGCCCTAAAAAAAAACTCTAATTTTAACCATTATTAGAGGACCACGCTCGCGGTTTGAGCACCTTCACCGTAATGGCCGGCCTGGGCGGTTTCCTCGGCTACGCCTTGGGCGGCATCAACTGGGACGTCACCTTCATAGGTAACCAGCCAACTATATATCTACCCATAAACCCTCTACTAAAAAAAAAACCAATAATAAACTACAGGCGAAATGCTGGGCGGCCACGTCAAAGCCGTCTTCACTCTCATCACGTTCATCTTCATCGGCTGCGTCGCCGCGACGCTCACCAGCTTCGTCGAGATGCCGCTGGACGCCGTCGAGGCGCGCGCCGCCGACGTCCGCTCGTACGGCGCCCTCGACCGCCGCGACGCCGACGCCGACGCTCCGGAAGAGTATGCACCGTTCGAGGAGGCGCCGCCGGAGGGCGTCGAGGCGTCGCTGACGTCCTATCTGACGAGCATCGTCTACACGCCGCCTTCGATTCGCATACTCTGCCTCACGAATCTCTTCTGTTGGATGGCGCACGTCTGTTATTCGCTCTATTTCACCGATTTCGTCGGGGAGGCCGTGTTTCGTGGCAACCCGATGGTGAGTATGACGGAATTGAGTGTTCCATGGCGATGCGCGATGGTTTTTACTACTGTTTGGTTCGGTAGTGGCTGTTTAATCGAATAGGTAGAGGCTTCTAGATCGGATGTAATAAAAATTAAGAAGAGGGTGAATGACATTGTGTAGCTTACTAGATTGTAGGCGAAAGTGAAACTTTATTACATACACGGTCCTGTATTTCTAAGGTCTGGTAACATAGGTCGAAAAAGTGTCCCGTTATTCGAGGACTACAGTTTTTTGCGTACGAATTATATAGAATTAGCATTAAGAAAGGTTATATTCAAACTAAAAATAGATACAAAATATAAAAATATACTTAAATCAGCGATGATTTTGTTGTAAACATCGTGCCTCACGTATCTTCGGTTAATGTTGGCTCCATTTTCTCCTCGAAATGTCAAATAATAATTTTTGAAGTTTTGACAGCTCGAACTGTCGTTTCACAACAACCGCGATTTATATGTAGCTCGACGCTGATTGGCCGAGATAAGTTGGCCCTTCGATCGTTCGCCACGTTGCGGCGCAAAAGCAAAGCTCAAAAAGTCCTCAAATAACGGGACACATTCTCTAATGCATAATCATAGAAAGTTTCCAGACCTTAGAAATATAGGGCAGTGGTTTAGTAGTAGCTGTTTAATCGAATAGGTAGAGGCGAGAGGAAGAGAGGATGAATGACATTGTGTTAATTGTGTAGCATAGTAGATTGTAGGCGAAAGTGAAACAAGCAAAGGGTATTTCTTCGAAGTCCCTTCGAATATCTAAAATGTGATCGAAGATCGTACAAGTAAAAGGCCGATTTGTGTTGCAGGCGATGGAAGGCAGCCGTTCGAGGGAGCTGTACGAATCGGGCGTCAGATTCGGCTGTTGGGGCATGTCGATGTACTCGCTGTCCTGCGCCTGTTATTCCACCAAAATCGAGAAACTCATCGCGAAATTCGGGTAATATACCATTCATATATTATACAGAATGTTCATAAATAATTGATTCCCACGTGACCGAATTCGGAATTCGAAATGAACAAAGTTACGAGAAGAATACTGTTATTAATGTCAAACGTCAATGTCAACTCGATGAAATCTCGGTAGAAATAACGTGTTTTGTTTATTTTTTGTTTATTTTTTATTTAGTATAGTTTTTCCGGTGCTTTTCTCGAAGAAAACTGTGTATCAACATAACCTTAGATTAATGAGAGGTAAACATAATGAACAACTTAGTGGATTATTGTTCTTCCTCCGCTGTGTTGATTTGTTTTCAAATTAGGGACATTGCTAAGGTCTGGAATCTCCCTATTCTAATGCAATAGAGAATGTGTCCCGTTACTTGAGGACTTTTTGAGCTTCACTTTTGCGCCGCAACGTGGCGAACGATCGGAGGACCAACTTATCTCGGCCAATCAGCGTCGAGCTACATATAAATCGCGGTTGTGTGAAATGACAGTTCGAGCTGTCAAAAGTGTCAAAAATTATTATTTGACATTTCGAGGAGAAAATGGAGAAATACATTAACCGAAGAAACGTGAGGCATGATGTTTACAACAAAATCATCGCTGATTTAAGTATATTTTTATATTTTGTATCTATTTTTAGTTTGAATCAAACCTTTCTTAATGCTAATTCTATATAATCGTTCGCAAAAGACCGTGGTCCTTTACAACATCGCCTCCTAGCGGCCGGTTTTAGGAACCCTATTTTATCCTCAAATAACAGGACACTTTTTCAACCCATGTTTCCAGACCTTAGGAATATCGAACCGTGGTAGGAATCAATCATTTACGATGACTCCTTACACGAAAAGGACAATAATCGAGATATCCTGTATGTAATTTGTAATCCCCTGATTTCGCGGTGGTTTGTTTCAGCGCCAAGAAAGTGTACGTGGGCGGATTGCTGGTGTACTCGACCGGTATGCTGTTGATGGCCGTCACGAAACACAAAGTAGGCGTGATTGTGTTCAGTTGGACGGCGGGCGTCATGTATTCGACGCTCTTCACCATGCCCTACTTGATCATCGCCCATTATCACGCCAAAGGAACGGTAAGATGTTCTAATTTCCACCATATCTTGACCAAAGGTAATCGTGGAGTCCGATAGCAATCGATAGAATGTTCAATGCAGTCCGATGGAATCCAATTTAGTACAACGGAGTGTAATAGAGTAGGTGTCCGGTGGAATAGAGGTCAATAAAATTGTATAATAGAGTTCGAGATAATCCGGTAAAATTCCAGAGAATCCGATAGAATTCAATATAGTCGAACAGAGTCGAATAGAGGTCAAAATAGTTGTCCAATAGAGTTGAAGAGAATCCAATATAATTCCAGAGAATCCAATAGAATTCCAGAGAATCCAAAAGAATTTTAGAGAATCCAATAAAATCCAATAGAATTCTAGAGAATCCAATAGAATCCAATAAAAATCCAGTGAAGAATCCAATAGAATTCAATAGAATTCCAGAGAATTCAGAATCCAATAGAATTCTAGAAATTCCAATAGAATTCTAGAGAATCCAATAGAATCCAATAGAATTCTAGAAATTCCAATAGAATTCTAGAAATTCCAATAGAATTTTAGAGAATCCAATAGAATTCTAGAAATTCCAATAGAATTCTAGAAATTCCAATAGAATTTTAGAGAATACAATAGAATCCAATAGAATTCTAGAAATTCCAATAGAATTCTAGAAATTCCAATAGAATTTTAGAGAATCCAATAGAATTCTAGAAATTCCAATAGAATTCTAGAAATTCCAATAGAATTCTAGAGAATCCAATAGAATTCTAGAAATTCCAATAGAATTCTAGAAATTCCAATAGAATTTTAGAGAATCCAATAGAATCCAATAGAATTCCAGAGAATCCAATAGAATCCAATAGAATTCCAGAGAATTCAATAGAATTCAATAGAATTCTAGAAATTCCAATGGAATCCAAAAGAATCCAATAAAATTCCAGAGAATTGAGAATCCAATAGAATTCTAGAGAATCCAATAGAATCCAATAGAATCCAATAGAATCCAATAGAATTCTAGAAATTCCAATGGAATCCAAAAGAATCCAATAAAATTCCAGAGAATTGAGAATCCAATAGAATTCTAGAATCCAATAGAATTCTAGAAATTCCAATAGAATTTTAGAGAATCCAATAGAATCCAATAGAATTCTCGAGAATCCAATAGAATCCAATAGAATTCCAGAGAATTTAATAGAATTCAATAGAATACAATAAAATTCCCAGAGAATTCAGTAGAATCCAATAGAATCCAATAGAATTCCAGAAAATCCAATAGAATCCAAAAGAATCCAATAGAATTCCAGAGAATCCATTAGAATCCAATAGAAGTCCAGAAAATCCAATAGAATCCTATAGAATCCAATAGAATTCCAAAGAATCCAATATAGTCCAACAGAGTCGAATAGAGAGGTCAAGAAAGTCATCCAGGAGAATCCAATAGAGTCCAATAGACCTCAATACAGTCATCCAATTGACTTCAAAAGAGTCTAATAGAACCAAACAGAGTCCACTAGAATTCAATACAGAGATCGAGTCGAATAGAATCCATATCTTCGGTTCTGTTCCAGTTCGAAACGACCGCCTCGGGCGAAGAGAAGATCTCGACGCAGATCCGCGGCTTGGGCACCGACGTGGCGCTGGTGTCGAGCATGGTGTTCCTCGCCCAATTCGTGCTCAGCGTCTGCATGGGCGCCGTGGTGAGCGCCGCCGGCACCACGACGGCCGTCGTCGCCGTCGCCAGCGCGCTGGCCTTTCTCGGCGCCGTCGCCGCCACCCAAGTGGTCTACTTGGACCTCTAATTAGGGTCTCCTCTCCGGGTGACTGAATCCCCGCGGAGGAAGAGGCCTTGATGGAGTAGAAGAAGCGGGTGGTGCTGGATTGGCTGGTTGGTGAGAGGCCGGTTTTTGTGTATGTAGGGCGAGGTGAGATGGTACGACGGTACGAAAATAGCCTTTCGGGGAATGTTTTCGCGCGTAAATTACCGGGCGAGTGAGCGCGATGGTGTTATTAATAGATTGCGTAGAGGGAACCACTGCCAAAATATTCGCGGGTCGCGAAAATTTCTCTTTTTTTTTTTTTGGGCGGTTTTCGTGCCGTCGCGTCGCCAATTTTATCGGCCCACTTGTTGGTAAATAAACATCAAACGTCATGTGTAGTTTCTTCGTTTTTGTACCGTTGTAAGGCCTAAATTGCCGGTGGTGTTCGGCGAAATCCTTCGAAAAAGCTAACTGGATCTTGGGATATACACTGTGCTTCATTCGCGATTGCAACATAAGCATTTCTATGAGTTGAACAAAGAAAGATTAATAAAATAACAGTTGTCAGAGTGAAGTTGTCTTTGTTGTACCCACAGCCTATGTTGCAATGAAAAATGGAGCAATAATTATGGCGTAATAATACATCATGTAATATACATGTGCGAATTTGTACATGTTTTTCTCTTTTATTCGGTGCACATTTAAATAAAGTTATTCGTTTATAATTTGAACCACCCGCCATTGCGATGATTATACGTCACAAAAGTTCGAGAACGGGACAAGAAGAAAATGTCAATTTGACAGAAGTACGTGTGGAATTGCCAATTAGTAGGCTGGCCGGATGCGACATAACGCAAGAGGCCATGTAACAGAGAAGAAGAAGAATTGCCAATATTTATATTTAGTTACTAATAAATAACGATTAAAAAAAAGCCTAATCGACCAATGTTAACTGTTTTTCTGTGTAGTTCTGCCAATATTCACTCAAATTGTTTACTAAATTTGTTACATTATTGACGTACTCGTCAGTGACAGGTGACAGGTGAAATAAAAATTTCAGACGGGTTTCGGGGCTAAAGTTTTGTTTTTTTAGTTTGTACATCGATATCGATTTTTGTGGACGTTTTCGTGAGTTAGTGGAATTCGACACGTTACGAAACGACCAAGAGCAAGGACGAACCCGCCGGTATCCTTCGAGCAAACGAGCAAACAAAGGTAGGTCCAGAGAACTTGATTAAAAAGATTAAAAACGAATCGATTTTTTCCGTTGGGACTCGGACGAGTTTAGTTGTTGTTTCGGGTTGTTTTATTTTGTCTATTTAACTACACGTAATTCCGTCTATTTAATGGGGATTCCAATTGTTGGATCTCCAAAAATTTGGTATAGTTGATATTTGAAAAATAACGCTTATTTTGTAACAATTGTTACTGCACCTCTATGCCAAAAAATAATTCACACCTCTATTAAACTTCTGTCATACGAAATGTCATTAATGTCAATTTCGCCAGCGTTTATTCATGTATCATCGAACGCACCTTAAAGTCCCACTTATTCATCAAATTCCCTTCGCACCCAATAAAACAAACATACAACGTATGCAATGGGGTATTATAAAAGAAGAAGAAGAAGAAACGAAAAACAAAAAAAAACGGCTGACTCACTGACCATGGCCCGCTCGATAATCCTCCTGTTGGTAAGCCTCCGGATGGGGCTGGAAGAACCTCACCAGTAAATCGGAGCCCGCCCAAGCGACAGCAGCCTTGACGTCCCTCCCGGCCGTCTTGATCATCACTCCGACATCCGCGAAAATCCCCGCGCGCGGTTTTCCCCTCTCTATCTCTCTCGTTGCGGTGCGTCGCGGCGCTCGCTCGACACTCGACTGCGTCGCGACGCTCCCTCGGCGACGGCCGGCTATTATTGTTGTGTCGTCGGGGTTTTTATTGCGTGTGCGGGGATTCGCGCTACTAATGAAAGACGCCGCGCTAAAAATAACATTTCGCCAGCCGGTTTTATCCCGATTTTTCGGCCAGTTGGAGCTTTCGGGCAAATTAATTCGACGACGGACGGACGGATTGATTAGATTGTTAGTTTTTGCGGGTTTTTTTTTTGGCGGCGAATTTGAATTCGAAGTTGCATTGAAATTTTCGGTTTTGTTAAAATAATATACAGTTTTCGATATTGGAGAATGCTGGTTCCTCTTGCAGTGTTTTAAATTTACTACAATTTAATTGTTCATTTGGTTTAATTAACTAAATTAAAGATTCTGGAAGGTTCTAAATAGTTCTGAAGCGTTCTGGATTGCTCTAGACAGTTCTAAACGATTCTGGAACGTTCTAAATGATTCTAGAGATTCTAGATGGGATCTAGAACGCTCTAGAATCATGCTAATTTTAATTAGCAATTAAATTTAATTGTTCATTTAGTTTAATTAAATTAAATATTTTTGCGTTTTTTGGCATATATTCCGAGCTACAGTTATAAATAAAATACACGAGTAAGGATAACAAACTGTTTTAATGAAGGTTCGTATAAAAAAATTTCAACACATAAAATTAACAAAAACATCAACAACGTTATTTTCACATGTACACTGGCATTTTATTTTAGTTTATTACATTTTCTACATCGGAAACGTCCGGAGTTGCCGCAATTACAAATAAATCGGTAACAACGAGGTTCTTATAAAAATATATATTATATATAAAAATCAAAATTAGCACCCTCGCTCGACGAAAAGGCACCGCTTTGATTAGGTACGAAATTTAGCCGTATTGACGAACAAAAAGTACGCAGGAAATTTGAGTAAATCGGTTCGAATCAGAGATGTTCTAATTTTATTATCATACACTACTTTTTTTATATAGGGTGTTAATTAATTGAATGTCGATACTTCAGGATGTCAATATTTGATTGAATTTAAGAAGAAAAGTTTATATCAATGTATGTCCTAAATCTCTTAGTTTCCGAGCTACAGGGTGTTAAAATTTTAGAAAAAAAAACTTTTCTATCAAAACTTTTCTTCTTAAAATCATCCAAATATTCACATCCTGAAGTATCGGCATACAATTAATTAACACCTTGTATAATATAGCTACACTATAATATAGCGTTTGTTTACTTTATTCGCTGAATTAAATGCTTGTTCAACTTATTTAAGGAGTTTGGAATGTATTTTTGTAATTCCAGATAAGTTTATAACGAATTTTCACCCTTTTAGGGTTTTTAAAATGAAAATTATTAACATCATCTCCGATTAAACCTACAAAGCATAAATATACACGTAAACCCGTGTACTTTTCGCTCGTTCCGGCAAGTACAAACATTCTAAGTAATAGTAAGATGCTCCCTGAATAATAATCAACGAAAAAATAAAATTAAAAAACAAAAATCAATCGAACGAACATCAATCGATATTTTCGACCGAACCTAATTGCGATAAAGTCCTAATCACTTCGGCCTTTTGGTTGTCGCTCAATTTCTCTATAATCGCCACCACGGCGTCCAAAGCCACGTCCGGACAATCCTGCAACAAACAAAAAAAAAACACCAATTACACCAACAAAAAAAAACAAATTTATCCAATTCCTCCTTACGTCTAACGTGTTCTTAATGTGATTAACCACCGCGTCCTTTTTAACGGCGTGTATATTGTGGTAAATGATCGATTCGTTCACCGGCTTCGATAGTTGCTCTTCGATCCATTGCACCACCACTTCGTTCTTGTCCCATTTGTAACCCTACGAAGCAACGGATTAAAACCAAAAATTCCGCAAATCTATTCTTTCAAACTTTACTTCCGAGGCTCCTTTCGCTTCGACGAACCATCTCCTCAACATGGCCTCGCCCTGGCCCACCTGGATGCCCGGCTGCACCTCCATCAAGGCCTTGATCACCCGCTCCTCCAGCAATCTCCTTCGCAATCTCCAGTAGATTATGCTCCTCGATTTTCGCCACGGTACGATATCCTACCAAACATCATACCAAAGTTATCAGCTTGTAATAGATTAATGGAATAAAATTACCCACAAATATATATACGAGGGTATGAGGAGTTCTCAGTCTGAATCATTTAGAACTATCTAGAACGCTCTAGAAACATTTAGAACTGTCTAGAGCAATCTAGAACGCTTCAGAACCATTTAGAACGTTTCTGAATCGTTTAAAACTGTCTAGAGCAATCTAGAACGCTCTAGAATCATTTAGAACTGTCTAGTAGAGCAATCTAGAACGCTTTAGAACCATTTAGAACGTTCCAGAATCATTTAGAACTGTCTAGTAGAACAATCTAGAACGCTTCAGAACCATTTAGAACGTTCTAGAATCATTTAGAACTGTCTAGAGCAATCTAGAACGCTCTAGAATCATTTAGAAATGTGTAGTAGAGCAATCTAGAACGCTTCACAGAACCATTTAGAACGTTCCAGAATCATTTAGAACTGTCTCGAGCAATCTAGAACGTTCCAGAATCATTAAGAACTCTCTAGAACAATCTAGAACTAGAATAAGAAGAATCTTCGATCTTTCGTTGACAGGCCGAGAACTTTCCACCCAACCCTCGTACAGAGGGGGAAGGGGGACGTTTAAAATCGAAAAAAAAAAATCAACTGACGTGTATGGCCCCCTTTTCGAGCATCCTCTCGGGCGTGTCGTGCAAATCGGCGAAGTGCACCGACACCTGATGGTACATCGGCAACAAAAAGTTCTCGCGCTGTTGGAGCTTCTTCTCGAGCGCCAGCAGTTCGGGCGTCTTCGTCGCCGTCTCGATCGGTTGCGTGATGCTCATCGAGCGCTCCCTGCCGGCCGGTATTTGACCGATGCTAGCCGAACGATCTCTCGGCAATTCGCGCATCAATTGGGCGATCTGTTCGTCTAATTCTCTCACCTAAAACGTACACGTGAATAAATAAATATTCGGGAATTTCGCACGTTTTAAGATGCGTTCGATGGTACATAAACAAAGTGACAACATTGACATTAATGACGTTTCGTACGACAGAAGTTTAATAGAGGTGGGAATGATTTTTTTGGTGTAGAGATGCAGTAACGACTGTTACAAAATAACCGTTATTATTTGAAATATCGTTCTACCGATTAAACTAGTCGAATGGGGGATTGATATGCGTAAGAATACCTCCGGATCTATGCGATGTATGGTTTTGATCAAATCCTTTTTGCGAAACTTGATTTCCACGATGCCCTCCGGTTCGAGAACGCCGCCCCTGCTGTCGTTGTCGGCGTACATTTCCATATATCTCGAATTGATGGTGGGATCGACGACGGCCCAAGCGCCGCCTCTCAACTCCCCGTTGGGCGGTATGTAGATGATGATCGGTTGTTTGTACTCGCGCAATCCGTCCACTATGTAAGCGCCGAACTTCACGATTTGCTCGTACATATCTAAACGAATTTATCCAACGATTAGGGCGCTTTAGTACACGGGAAAGCTATACTTCGTCCATCCAACCAAACGGAGTAACCGAAACGACGTTAGACGCGAGATCATCAAGCCCATTTGCATCTACAGGGCAGATTTTTTTGGAAAATCAGTCGAATGTATTTTCTGTGATATATCTGTTAATAATGTAGCTAGAAGCTTGAAATTGAGTATCGATGTTATCCAGACATACTACTAAATGAAACTAAACTGTATTGTCTGTAGTATGTAAAATTGTCTGACAAACTTGACCAAATTAAAATAGTCATAACTTTGTTATTTCAAATCGATCACCCTGCATTTTTTAACAGTGGCCAATGCAGTTTTTTAAGCCCTTCCGATCCATATAGGTATTTTGAAATAATCGAAGTTTTATTAAACCTCGTTTCAGTTACTCCATCGGTCGGACGGATGCAGTAATAGTAATAGTAATAGTACCTTTCATGCCGCCGCTGAAACCCCGCCAATTGGCGAACACCACCAGCGGCAGATCCTCCCTGGAGAAATCCTTGATGGCCTGGGCCGTCTTGTAGGCGGAATCGGGGAACCACACCTGGCCCGCTTGCGACACCGTCTTCGCCTCCGAATCCAAATTCGCCGGATCGGCGGGCAGCTTCAATTCGACGGTGCGCGTCTCCACCGCTATGCAACCGACGGGGATGCCGCCCAAGCGCGCCCTGCCCGTCACCACCGTTTGCGCCCACGGGCGCATGATCTCCGACCAGGTGCCTCGATCGAAGAAGCCGCTCTCCCACACCGACGGATCGTCTGTATAACACACACGGAAAATACAATCATTAACCTTTATAATGGTGCTACTAGGGCATAGACAGCCTTATGAGACATTTTAGACGTTCATTTAGTTTCGGTACTGTTGATAGAGGGCGCAACAATAGTTTATTTCAGGCCGTATTACATGCCGTATTTCAAAAACAATAATGGCGTCTTGTATTGATTCGCATAGATTCTGAATATTTTATTTTCTCTTGTAGTGCAAGATGAAGTTAAAACCGAAGTTTTTTGTTTTTTTTGTTCATTTATTTCGTTTGTTTTCGAGTGAGTTTAAAGGGCATTGTTATTGCCTGTAAGTTGTATAAGTTTTGTGTATTGTTAGTGAAGAATTGTGTAAAGTTAAAGTTAAATCTTTTCGTTCTATTGCTTGTTTTTATAGCGCTTAGTGAATTTTTCTGGTTCTGCCATAATATTTCAGTTTATTTAGCGATTTTGTTTAAATTTCCTGAATTTTGTCATTTTTTTTTTTTCAATATATTTTTAGTAAAAGTATATATTACTTGGCGATTGTCGTCCTTCGAGCATCCACCTTGGATCGTAAGGAGTCTTCGTAGGCGTAAATGACACTTCCCTATCGACGGGATCCACCGGATCGACGATCGGTATCGGCGATAATTTATCCTGGAAACTCATTATTAATAACCAGTCGTAAATCAATGTTAAATTCTTAGACGTATAAAAAAACATCACCGGCTCACTTTAGGTATGTACGACAGCCACTTCAAGATCGTATAGACGCCCTCCAAATCGGTCTGATCGGTCTTGTGCGTCACGCCGTTGTTGTGCATGATCTGTATACCGCCCAATTGGTTGTTCGAAGCGTACACCTCGCGACCCAGCAGCTTGTTCAACGCCGCGTAGCCCGTCAGTATGATGTGCGAATTCTCGATCTGGATAACCCGCTGGCCCAATCGCACCAAATACGAACCGATTCCTATCGCCCGACAGCTCACCATCGATATGGTCACCACCTCCTCGTAGGCGGCCGACGTTTCGCCCGCTATCATCCCGGCGTACTTCAAATTCTCCACCCCCAACCCGTCGTCCTTTCCTACAACCAAACAGAATGCATCCGTAAAAAGTAACTGTAAAACACAGAACAGTAAAAGACTCGACTCACCGATGATATCAGTCAACTTGTACCTAGACTCCCCCTCGTCTTCAATCAACACGGCTCGCACGGAATTACTAGCGCTGACTTTAGCGTAATCCTCCGGCGTCAAATACAAATACCTAAACCCTCTATCGGGCTCGCCGTTATCCTCCCAAGCCACCCTAAACACCGATTTCACCTCTTCGGCGAGGCCGATGCGCGCGCCGCTATTCGCCGACATGTAGATCCTCGGTATGCGCAATTTGCGCGCCATCTCGCTGGCCAAGCCGAAGACTTTGTCCTCGCGCGGTCCGAACGAGCCGATCAAGTAGGTGACGTCGTTGGCGATGACGATGACGTCGCGACCCGCTGGGTATTCGGGCGTGTGGAGGGTGAGACGCCACGCCACCATGCCGACGTTGTTCTCGCCGGGGACGCGTTTCTGTTCGATGAGGCGGCTCTCGGTGTCCGGATCGAGGATCAGCTCGACGAAGTCCATCAGTTTGTCGGGCACGCTGACGTGTTCTGTGCGGACACCGTTATCGTTATTTATTGTTTGGAGAGTGGTAGGGTTTTGTGGAGGATTGTTGACAGGATTTCTATGTCGTTTAGAAGGATTCTAAATCGTTCTGGTAGAGTTCTAAATCAATCCGGACGGTACTAAATGGTTCTCGACAACTCTGAGTCGTTCTAGAACAGTCTAAATGACTCTGGATCGATATAATTCGTTCAGAAACCGATATAATTCGTTCCATTCAAGACTGTTCTAAGTCATTCTAGACAGTTCTAATTCATTCTATACAGTTCTAATTCATTCTAGACAGTTCTAATTCATTCTAGACAGTTCTAATTCGTTCTGAAACAATCTCAATGATTCCAGACCGTTCTAATTCGTTCAGAAACATTCTAACCCATTCAAGACAGTACAAATTCATTCTAGACACCTCTAATTCATTATAGACAGTTCCAGTTCGTCCTGAAACAATCCGAACGATTTCGCACAGTTCTAAACCGATCTATAGACACTTCTAAACCATTCTCGACAATTCTCTCGCATATTACCGGTTACTTTAGGGAACCATCCCTTACTTACCGCTCAAACGTTCTTGGCTGTACTGCTTCCATTGCAAATCGACCATTTGCCTAAACATGTCCGGATAGTCGTAGGCGTAAGTAGTACCGATCGATTGCGCTTGGAATCGCTTCTGTTGCAAATAGTCCTTGGGAATATAAGGCGTCGATATGGGCAGGCCGTGCAAAGGGCCCTGCTTCGGACCGTACGCCTGGAATTTGATGATACCTGCGAATGATTAAATAAAATTAATGAAGCTGAAAGATGAGGAAATGAAGCCGGAAGATGAGGAAATAAAGCTCAAAGATGAGGAAACGAAGCTCAAAGATGAGGAAATGAAGCTGGAAGATGAGGAAATGAAGCTGGAAGATGAGGAAAGAAGCTGGAAGACGAGGAAAGAAGCTGGAAGACGAGGAAAGAAGCTGGAAGATGAGGAAAGAAGCTGGAAGATGAGGAAATGAAGCCGGAAGCCGGAAGATGAGGAAATAGAGCTCAAAGATGAGGAAACGAAGCTGAAAGATGAGGTAATAAAGCCGGAAGATGAGGAAACGAAGCTGCAAGATGAGGAAATGAAGCCGGTAGATAAGGAGATTGTAACGTAAAGCACCTGTGTCGGGATCGGCGACCTCCGTGTACATGCTGATGTCCAAATAGTAGCCGCTGTCGTTGGCCAAGCACAATCGAATCTTGGATGTTTGAGCGTTCGGCGCCGGTCGAATGGTCAGATTGATTTCGGCCTGGAGCACGCGCAACTTCCACAATCTCGGCCCGTATCGCATCACCAGATTCGTCACGGCCTCCTCGATCTGCGATAAATTAAGCAAAAAAATCGAGTCACAATCGATTAAGGGGGGCGATTATGCGCGCGCACCTTAGCGGGATCCATGATGACCGTAGGTATGAAGTTCAAGAATATGTGATTGCAATCGGTCCGCTTCGAATGCGGATGCGAAAAGGCGATCTCCAACTCGTCCATCGCCTCCAACAGCGTGCGCTCGCCCTCGTTTTGCAGGTACTCGAACGACGCCTCTTTGGTGATCAAATCCGAATGCCTGACGATCGATCGTATGAAGAACCGATAGTCGGTGATCTCCTTGCCACCGGCCCCCTTCGCCTTGCCCAAATACAAGTGCATCTTTTGGCTGCTCGTCGGCAACGCTTCGAGCGTGTACGATCGCATGCGGCTCATCTCCAATTGAAACGAACAGGCGGGCTCCAGGTGCCTGTAGATCCGGTCCTCGTAGAACCCGTCCCTGGCCCGGTACGTGAAGCACTTCGGCGACTGTTTGTGCTTCAACGGCGAGAACGTGACGCGTCGTATCTTCCTGGCCATCAACTCGTCCTTGTGCTTCAGACAGAACATGGTGAACATCTTGTTCCAGCTGGAATCGTCCTTGTCGCCGTCGTCTTTGATGCATATCATCAGGATGTGGATGGGTTCTTCGATGATTTTGTTCTCGTCGGCGCTGAGCCGGCGATTTTCCAGCGACAGGCTGACGTTGATCGAGGTGCTGTTGCCGCGCGACTCGGAGCCGCTCTCGACGGCGTTCAGATCTTTCGCGGAGATGGCCGCCGGACTGGCGAAGTCCTCGATCAGGTCGAGGATTTCGTCGGCGTATTGCTCGAATTGTTGGAAGTTTTCGAAGGCCGACATGCAACCGGTCCGTTGGAAGGTGTCCACGATTTTCACTTCGTTGTTCGAATCCTCTGGAACGCGATAAAAAGTATTAGTTCAATAAATATAATGGAGGCCGAAGAGATCTGGAGGGATATGGATCACAAAGATCTAGTGCAACAAAGGCGTTGGAACTCTCAGGGTTCGTATCAGAAATAATGAATCCTTACAACAAGGAGAAAACTTCCACTACACATTCCTATCGGTCCTACCTTCGTTGTTCTCCATGTTAGAGTTCAATTTGACCAATCTGTTGGGATGCGAGGGCGGCAACGTGAAATTGAAATGCACCACCGACACCTCGCCGGAGAGTTCCAGATGTTGCAGGCAATTGATGTCGTAGCTGGTGTAGGCCCTTCGAACGTACACCTCCAAGGCGGCGTTGCACACCGCCCTGTTCGTGTGGTAGAAGAAATCGTGCAGTATGTCGAAGATCGACGTCTCCGACACGATCAATTTCTGCAAATTCTCCGGGTGGAATTCCTGCGACAAATACAAATTTAATAAAAACACCATCGAATCGGTTATAACTTGCACCCCCCGTCTCCAAGGCCTTTTACTTAGCTACCTTATAGTTGCACCCCCGTCCCCAAGGCCCTTTCCTTAACTACTCTACAGCTACACCCCCGTCCCCAAAGCTTTTTTTCCTAGCTACTCTACAGCTACACTTCCGCTCGAAACCTCTATCTTAACTACTCTTCAGCTGCACCCCCGTCTCCGAGGCCTTTTCCTTAACTACCCTACAGCTACACCCCCCGTCCCCGAGGCCTTTTACTTAGCTACCCAACAGCTACATCTCTATCCCTTCTGTCTTTTTTTATAGTCGTTTATATACCGACCTGTCCGTACATATCGACGGCGCTCAAGAAGATGCTCTCCATCTGGTTGTGGCGCAGCTCGTAGGCCGGCTGGTGGGCGGCGATGAGCACCTGGCGGGCGCGCAGGGCGACGCGCGAATGTTCGCTGCGATTCAACGACGTCAATTCGGTGAGGCAATTGGCCAGCTCGTCGGTGAGGCCGGGCTCGTTCGACCACAGGTGATCGATCAGCATCGTCACCAGCAGGTTCTTCTTGCCGACTTGGCTGTGCGAGAATATGGTCGCCGTCACCGCCGACATGTCGTCCTTGTGTTGGTCGCGCAACAGCGACACGCACTTGTCGTACGAGCTGTGCTGGAATTGGCTCTCGACGTCGTAGTAGCGGCGCAGGAGCTCCTGCACGGCGTGCTTCATGCGACCCCTGATGCCGTTCCTGTACCTACGTGAATACACCATATTTATTTATTGGCTGTATAGCTTATACGTAAGAGATTCTTTGTACCTTTGTACCAACTGGATGATTCCTTCGGTGGCCAAAAAGAAAGCGTCTCTTTCGGTGCGTTTGGTCATACTGGCGGCGTGAGTATCAATCACGCTTGCGATCTACAACAAATACATTCTATTATAAAACCGCAAATCGTAGATATAAAATAAAGTATATAAAGTACCTGTTGGCTGGGAAATTGGGCCAACACCGAGGTGATGTTTCGCTCGTACAAGGCCATCAATCTTCGTATTTTCTTTTCGACGGCGGCCGGTATGCGGCCCGATATCGAGGCCATCACCTCTTGGAGCTCGAGCAACGGCAGGCTCGGATCGCGCAGCGACGACATGAATTTCTCGATGATTTCGCGCAGGCGCGGCGCGTTGTACGGATCCGGCAGGCAATAACCTAAAATGTAAAAGTCGGGGGTCACAAATGCAATTACGACGACGGTAGCGCCTCTACTAACTCGTTTATTCGGTTACCTAATCTCGTATGGCCTACGCCGATTCGTCGAATCAGCCATCTAATCTTTAATATAACGAATAAATACTAGCCTGCTAGGGAATTCTCCAAGGCGGTGCGATAGCTGGTGTGGACGTGATTGAGTTTCTCGGGCACCGCCGGCTGCGACACGTCCAATTCGGGGAAATGGCCCTTGTACGGCACCGCTTTGGTCACCAAACTGGCATCGTCCAATTCCAAGGAGGCTATGATCGAACCGGCGTCCAATACGGCGCCGGCCCGTTTTACGTACGTCACCGTACCGGACTCGTTCGCCGTCAACGTCATCACCATTTTCATCACTTCGATTTCGGCGTACGCCTGGCCCTTTTGCACGTGCCCGCCGTCCTCCACCACGTAACCTGCGCGAAAATATTCGTTAAAAAACTCGCACAAAGTCTCACAAAGAATACTCTCGAGCCCCTTCTGGCCCTTTAACCGAGCACCGCAGCCACATTCGAGCTCTCTAGATGCGAGGGATTAATCGCGTAGATTCACCTATGAGTTTTTCTCTAGTATTGATGGATTAATCGTTAAGATTCACCTATGAGTTTTCCGGCCGATGGCGATCTCAAAATCGTCGGATCGTTCTCCTTTTCGAACACACAAGTCTGATTGCCGATGACGATACGATAGCGATCCACCTCTTCTTTCATATACGTGGTGAAAGAAGCGCCATCTATCGACAGTAAAATACCACCGTCGTTCATTCGATGCACTTCAATCTCCTTGAAACTGCCGTTCATTTGCAAAAAGTAGGTGTTCGGACCGCTCTTCGTCGCCTGCACTTTGTACTTGTTCCTACAAACATCAAAAAAATAATGTATATACAGCGTGTCTCGATGAACAGTAGCCCGTTTAACGGTTCTTTATAGGTTATTACCCGTCGTTGATGAGCTCGATATCCACGACGTTCGTGAGCGTATTAGAACCCTGGATCTGGCCGCGCTCCAGCGACGTCTGGAACTCCTGGAACGAATCGGTGATGGTGCGATCGGCGATGTGCAACGCGCCGCACACGACGCCCAACATCACGTCGGGCTTCTCCGATTGCATGCGCTCCGCTATCAGTATGTCCAACCAAGCCGTATCGATCGTGTTCTCCTGGAAGCTCTTCGTCTCGAGCAACGTGATCAGGTATTCGACGGTCGTGCGGAAATCGCCGCGTATCGACAGCTCCTTCAGCGCGATGACGAGATTCTCTCGGGCCTGTTCGCGGTTCTCGCCCCACGAGAAACAATGGCCGAATTGGCTGTCGGCGAATTCGTGCAGGCCGCCCGACGCCGCCACCGAAAAGTAGCCCCACACGTTCTTCGACGAGCGGAAGTTCAGCTCTTGCACGGTGCCCGAGCTCGGCTTGAAACCTTGTCGAAAACAACAAAAAAAAAAAACGCGTTAAAAACGTTAATAACTCTAAATGTAGTTGTGTAGTACCTTCGTCTGGATTCTCCGACGTGATTCTAGCCGCGATGACGTGACCCCACGGTTGTGGTTTGTGCCTCGGTTGATCGAAATCGATTTCGGTGGAACCCCACGGTGACTCGCCGTACAACAACCGGATATCTTTGATGTAATGCAACGGTAAACCCATAGCAATCTACGATTAAACACACATTTACACACACTTTAATCGAGTACAATTCATCGAATTTAACCTGCAATTGCGCCGCGGGCAAGTTCACATCGGACACCATCTCCGTGCAGGGATGCTCCACCTGCAGCCTGGGATTCAATTCGAGGAAGTAGTACTGGCCGGACGGGTCGTAGAGGTACTCGACGGTACCGGCCGATACGTAGCCCACCATTTTGGCCAATCGCACGGCCGCCTTTTCCATGTGCTCGAACACCGACGGTTCCGCTATGACGGCCGGCGCCTCCTCGATGATCTTCTGGTGCCTGCGCTGGATGGAACAGTCGCGGCCGAACAGCGAGATGGCGTTGCCGTACATGTCGGCGAGCAATTGGACTTCCAAATGTCGGGCGCACTTCGCCAGTTTCATCACGAATATCGGCGAACCGGGGATTTCGGTTTGTACCTAAAAAACCAAGCCGTTTAATCGAATTTTAAAAGAGTTAAACGGAGGCGGTTACTTGTCTGAAGGCGGCGGGAAAATCGTCGGGATTCTCCACTTTTCTGATGCCTTTGCCGCCGCCGCCTTCCGACGCTTTTATCATCACCGGGAAGCCTATCTTGTGCGCCGCCGCCAGGCCTTCTTCGGCCGAATGGACGCAACCTTTCGCGAACAATTCCGACGATATTTTGATCTTTTTGCCGCTGTATTGAGCCGTCAAACCTGCAATAAACGATTATGCTGTTAAATTCGGACCTGCTGACAGTTCTAATTCGTTCAAATGTATCCTTAATCATTCTAAACAGTTCTAAGATAGTTCCAAATGGTTCTCGACGATTTCGATGCGTCTTGAAGCAATCTAAATGATTCTGGACAATCCTAAATGGTTCTGAAGCGTTCTAAATCATTTTGGACGTTCCTAAAAGATTCTAGACCATTCCGACTCTTCCTGAAGCAATCTAAATAGTTCTAGACAGTTTTTAATGGTTCCGAAGCGATCTAAATCATTTTGGACCGTCCTAAATGGTTCTAGACCATTCCTGAACCAATCTAAATGGTTCTGGAGCGCGACGATATCGAGCAATCAAACTGCAAAGCAGCGAATCGTTTCGAAAATACAAACGTACCAGATCCGGACCAAGGTAATGTGGGCACTTCGGCCGTTTGGGCGACCAACGACGAGGCGATTTTATCGCCCAACGCCCACATGGCCTTCTCGTTGGGTCCGATGAAGGCCACGTTGTTTTTGTGCAACAGCTCCGGCAGCTTCGGATTCTCCGAGGCGTGTCCCCAACCGGCCCATACGGCCTAAAAAAAACGAAACGAAAACGAAATTACAGGCCCGTCTAAACAAAGATTATCGGTGCATAATCTATTGGACAAAGGTGGTTCTAAGGCACCGATTAAGCCCGTCTAAACAAAGATTAATTGGTGCATAATCTATTGGACAAAGGTGGTTCTAAGGCACCGATTACAGCTCAAGAGATTGATCAGAGCGTAAAGAATAGATCGATTTAAAATGGCGTCGTACTTGGACTTGACATCGAATGGCGACGTCGACGATCAGCTCGACGTTGGCGTAGTTGTTGTTGTTGGTGCCGCCGGGGACGGGCACGTAGTGATCGGCCATTTTGATGTATTCGGCGTTGGCTTTGAGATCTTCAGGGGTCACCATCACCACGAAACGAACGGCCCGTTCGTTCTTGAACATCTCGTACGACCAGCGGCGCACCGATCGCATGCATTTCACCGCCGCTATGCCGTTGTTCGCTATCAGCACCTGCAAAAATCGGGAAGCAATTTTACTATATAGATCCGTTCGGGAACGTTCGAAATGGTTCTAGGTAGTTCTGAATAATAATGAAGCGTTCTAAATGGTTCCAGAGAGTTCTAAATGGTTCTGAAGCTTTCTAAATAGTTCAGGAGAGTTCTAAATGATTCAGGGGCGTTCTAGATTGTTCGTGGCAGTTCTAAATGATTCTGAAGCTTTATAAATGGTGCTAGACAGTTATAAACTATTCTGTAGCATTCTAAATTGTTTTAGACAGTTGTAAATGATTCTAGAGCGTTCTAGATTGTTCTTTGCAGTTCTAAATGATTCTGAAACGTTATAAAGGGTGCCAGACTGTTTTGAACGATTGTGGAGGTTTCTAAATAGTGCCAGATAGTTCTGAATGATTCAGGAGCGTTCTAAATAATGTCAGACAATTCTAACGGATCCTGGAGCGTTCTAGATTGTTCTTGGCAGTTCTAAATGATTCTGAAGCGTTATAAAAGGTGCCAGACTGTTTTAAACGATTGTGGAGCATTCTAAATGGTTCCAGATAGTTCTAAATGATTCTGGAGCGTTTTAAATAATTCAGGAGCATTCTAGATTGTTCTTGGTAGTTCTAAATGATTCTGAACCGTTATAAATGGTGCTGGACGGTTGTAAACGATTCTGGAGCATTCTAAATGGTGTCAGATAATTCTAAATGATTCAGGAGCGTTCTAAATTGTTTTAGACAGTTCTAAATGATTCTAGTGCGTTCTAAATGGTTCTAAACGGTTCCAGACCAATCTAGAGAATCACTCTGATTATTCTAAGTGATTTTGCACGAAACCTTGTAAATTAGCGCTATTACAAATGAATGGACGGTATAATATCTCACCTTATTGATCACCCTGGTGCCGTTGAAACGTTTGACGAACTCCTCGGGGGTCGCTACCGTGAAATTCTTCTCCTCTTGTCGGTTGTGCAGCATAACAGTCCCTTGGGACATGCTAGGCCTGAAAAGAAACATTCCCTGTGTGTCGATTATTTAATCTCGCGCGAAATAAAAAACGATTTTACTACCGTTCACTTCGCATTTTTTCTCTAAGCCTTTTAATTGCATTTTTATCAATAAAAATAATAAAATAAACCGCAATTTATAGGTTATATAAATCATCATTTGACATTGACATTAACGTCGGCTGTTATGAAACATGGAACATAAATCATAGAGAAAGAAAGAAAGATGTCTATGACATAAATCGACTTTGACGTTAATGACAGCTATTAAAAGAAAAGAAGACCGGGAAACCGAATAGACCGAACGCGACGTTGCCGCTTCGTGCGAAATGTCGCGTTAATGCGGAAATTCCCGAAAAAAAAAAAATCGTCCCTCGACTTACGTCAGGGTGGATTCGTGGACGCGCAGCCGGGCGGCGTGCCGCATGACGAACGACTCCGACTCGGAGATGTCGCTGGAGGAGTCGTTGCGCTCCGAGATGGTGAGCTCCGGTATGAGAAAGGCGGAGGCGTCGGCGGCGTCGGCGGCGTCGTCGTCGCCCTCGCCGATGACGAACCTCCTGCTGTTCCTGCGGTTCCTGTTCATCGTCGACGGGTCACTAGAGTCACTAGAGTCACTGCGTGGTGGCGGCGCGATCGGGGTATAATAACGAGCGATTCGATCGAACAGAGCTTTGGCGATGTTCGACATACAATTCCGGGTATTTATGCTCTTTTCGGCGAGGTCCGTTTCGAGTACCGTGTGAAACGAAGAGGTCGGTCGGTAATTAACTCGATTTTAATTAGTTTGAAATTATAGGTACATCGCTATAAGTATGGGAACATTAATTGTGTAATTTGTGATGTGTATAAAATGTATTAATTATTGTTGTATGATGTTTTTTTTTCGAATTTTTACTGGACGGACAGTTAGTTTGTAACAATATAGAAATCAATGTAATTCCATCATTATTTCATATCGGTTCCAAAAACTCAATAACACCTTTAAGGTCTTATTAGTAGTTGAAAAAAATCCGTTGGATATTTCTATAGGAAACTCTCCGATTGGGACATCCTGTATGTTAAATTTCAAAGGTCGCTTTTGTACGTAAAACCGAAATGTTATTTTGGATAAGTGTCAATTAAATGGAATGTTGAATTGGAATGAATTAAATTTTGTTTTTGAGATAATGGGCCATTAAACGTACATTAGGAAAACACGCTTTAATTATAATAATTACAAATTAGCGTTCAGAAAAAGAGGAATTTAGATCGCGATAAAATCGAAACGAAATGCATCCAATTACGATAAATTTTTATTAATTTTAATAAAACCAGTTAATTTATTGATTATTTAGATATCGTATATGATACTTGTTTTATTTTTATGACCATTTGCATTTAAAATCGATAGATAATAATACAAACAAGTACCTCAATTAAGTGGCAATTAGAAATGACATTTAACAGTTGGCAATTAAAGTGTAGAATCGACATATCGATTATTGATGAAAATCGATATAAATTTGGGAGAATTGAAAGAATTGGAAAGAAGAAACCTCGACCTTCAAAATGAGCCTTAATTGGAGTCTTTAACACAAATTACCCTGCAATTTTATCGCGAATCAAAGGTGAGACTAACAACATAGAAAAATAATCGAATTATATGGAAGTGAATAATAGAATAAACCAATGAAGCGTGTAGACGAAAGTTCCTCTATCCTACGGAAAACTTGTAATCGTAAATTTACTTACATAATTTATAAATTCGTCGATTTTAATTATCATTTAAACATTCGACAGTTTATAACCTCAATCAAGAGAATTTTTGTATACAATTATGACAGGCAATTGACAGTTGACCTGTCATTTTAATCCCCCTTTCGAATGATTCATTTTACAATCTAATTCGATTAACACATATTAATTAAGTACTAACAAATTATCTTCTTCATTATAGTAAGTTGATTGTCATAGTTACGAAAACAAAGTCATTATTTATTATGAATCGTACAAAGCATCTGGCAACGTCGCAAAACTAACTAATAAAATTCCAGTAACAAACAAATTATAATAAACATTTCTAATGACCGTTTCAATTATTTTAATGGAAAATATTTCAAAAATAACAGATATTTTCGTGTCTTATATACAATTTAAGCCGAATTTAAGTGCAAAATAAACTGCCTGTTAAAAATGACAGATCAAACGTCAACAAACTGTCAATAATTACCGCATATTAACCCAATCCGATTGACTTCTATTTGTTATCAAACAAAAACCCTAATTCATTTAAGCGATCATATTTCGCAGAGTCGGATATATCGATATCAATAAATCAAACGATCGAACCACCGTGCAACATTCGCTCGATTTCCCCTAGGTCAAGGTCACTCGATCAAGTACACAAACACTCACAGAACACTCGCGGTCGCGATGGAGCAACAACTACATCGAAATTAACATAAAAAATAAGAACTGAACCATTATCCGGTAAGGTATACCAGGTAAATAAATAATCTACAGGTTGTCGAACGTTACGCCACGTCCCCGTCGACCAATGGCACGCTAGATTTTAGAGGAGAAACGTGCGTTAGACGCCACAGCGCACGCGCGCGCATCGTAAGACTTTTAATGACACTAATGACGTAGCGTTGCTATGGTGATGGAAGGGATGATTTCCGAAGAAAACGACAGGGACGGGCCGGCCCCGAAGGTACCATTCGAAATAGATTAGTTTCCTAATAAAAAAATGTTTGTATGATGGCGATGTAATTGTGCACATTCGAGGAATTAGAAAAAATCGTAAAATTAGTATATTACACTATGAAAAATAGTTTATTAAAATAATCAAAAAGTTTATTAGATGAGGTTGAACGAACTTTTTTATGTAACGAGATAGCAGGCCTTGAAATCAAGATTACAGAGGTAACTACGACCGATTCGGTTAATTCGAAAATAATATAAATAGCATTCGTAACTATTATATAATACGCGAATAATAAATAAATAGCTCGTAATCGCGCGGAAAAAGTTACCAAATCGAGCAGATGATAAAGTTTAATCGAAGCGAAAACAAAATTCAGCGCGATAGCGGATTTAATTTAATTTATTTTAATCGTTATCGCGACGAATGCGACTAAGTAAAGCGCAAGAAACAGATGATAGGTCAATTTCCGAATTTTCTTACGTCGTAATATTGTTCGATTCTCGATTAATACAAGTTGTTTTAAGGCCGCCAAAGCAGGCCCACGAATTCATAATTTTAGAGATTTTATTGCTTGGAGTCTCTATATCAGGTATAAGAAAAAATCAAATCAATTGATGAAGCCAAATTTAAATCTTACTGGAATTATTGAACCTATGTTTTCCCATTTAAAAATACCCTGAAGTGGCGCCCTTAAGAGTACGAAATTTTTGTTGTTAAACAAATTGTCGAAGAGAAATAGATAATTATATTTCTCGTATTAATTTCATTTAACGTTTGTTTCCGGCAAATATCACCAATTTATCGACGGTAATTTAGCAATTTACGATACAAAAAACAATTTAATATTCCCCGTTCAAGGTTGCCGCGCGCGCTACGCAGTATTCCAAATCGCATTCAAAAGAAACTTATATAAACAACTTATACATCCAGAGAGCTGGATCTTATTGCAAAAAAAAATCCCTTAGCAAATCTCCCCAGTTCCCCGATTTCCTCCGCACCGGCAACGTCGCGCGCACCCCCCTCGCCAGGACCGTACTCACTTGAGCTTCTTCCGGCGTTCCAGCAGCTCCGCTTTGGCGGCGGCGCTCCAACCGCCGCTCGAGTAGCCCCCTTGGCCGTCAGAGGGCGCCGCCGGGGGCGGCGTTTCCAATTCGTCGGTCTGAGGAAAGATATCCTTCTCCTCCCTTTCCTCGTCCCCTGCAAAACAACAACTGAATAACCGAAGGAGTAGAGGCCTTTAGTTCGCTTACCGATTATCCATTGGGCGTTCTCGTTTTCGCTCATGTTTCCGTCTTCGTCGCTTGTTCGATTAGCATCCAATCGATTGTCCCGGTATCGATTCGTATCTGCAATCGAATAGGAAATAACGATTCGTATAAACGGAGTTAACTACGTTCTTCTGTTTATAGTCGAGGAGCAGGACCGGCTCCGCGGCGGGAATTCGGAAAATGGAAATTTAATTTATGGAACGAATAGCTAATGCTGTACACGGGGTTAAATATATCGCCGTTTCGGCGACCTTTCGACGAACAGGAAAAATAAAATTCCACTGTTTTTGTTTTGCTTTTCCGATATACGCGGAGTTTTACGCGCAAGGCACGCTAGATCGCCGTGGAAAGGCGATCGTCGTCGCCGCCTTGCGATTATGCAAATTGAATCGGGGCGACCTTTCGGGGGGTCAACGAAAGGTCTCTAATTTGATATTGAAATCGTTGCGTAAACGCGAGCACGGCGATTTGTGAGCGTTAGAAAAGCCGGAAAAAAATTCAAAAAAATCGAGATACCTGCGTAATGGCGATTAGCCAGCACTCTCGATCGTTCGATTGTTATCGAATGATTTTGACAGGCGGGGGTTTGATTTGTTTAATGGATAGAAGAAAGTTGCTTTTTTCTGTAAATTAGATGTTTCTTTTTGTAGAGAGAAGTTTGGTTTTGAGAATTTGGTCTTTGGGTTATTAAAATGAATTTTCCTAATAATGACGTAATAATCAAAGTAGGCTCAATTTGCCATGTAACTCAGAAATAAGTAATTACATAATGATCAAAGTAGGCTTAATTTTCTTTCTAACTCAAAAATGAGTAATTACATAATAATCCAAGTAGGTTCAATTTTCCTCCTAACTCAAAAATGAGTAATTACATAGATAATAATCAAAGTAGGCTCAATTTTGCCATGTAACTCAGAAATAAGTAATTACAAAATGATAAAATTAGGCTCAATTTTCCTTCTAGCTCAAAAATGAGTAATTACATAATAATCCAAGTAGGCTCAATGAGTAGCTCAATTTGCTTTAATTAACGACATAACAATCAAAGCTCGATTCGTGTAGATAACTTTAAACCCCAAATATCCCAAAAAAACAAACAAATAGCAAAGAAACAAATAAAAAAAAAATAATAAAACTCACTTCCTCAGCACCCTAAAATATACCACAAAATAAAAATAACCCACCGGTCGTCCTTTCAGTCCACCGAAAACACCGAAAACAACAATAGATAGCCGTCGCGACGCCGACGCCCGTCACAATTTCCAAAAAGTGCGCCTCCTCGAACATCCACGGCCGACTCGACTGGATCGAAGCGTGATCGATTAATTTTTTTTCTTCGATCGATTACCAGAACCGTTTTCAATGTAATAACCGGACACCGCTGAACGGCAGGTCACTGTATAATCGCAAGTATTGTATAATACACTGGGCCCGATAACATGATTAATGCTTTATATTAAAGCGGGTAACCCTTTTATCGCGTCGGCCTTGCTTCGACTTTCGGCTCGACAGAGGCGTGCTGATAACGGGACCGATCTGTGCGCTCGGGGTGATTTATTTTTCTCGTTTATTCTTAGTTTTCTTTTTCGCTACATCAACATCGTGTAATGTAATCGCATCAAACTTGGCTGGATGCTTATCGGGCAAGAGGCCATTGACTTATAAGAAGAAGGAATACACTGTGGTCCTTCGACGAGCGTTTTGTTAACTATTGGCAACATTGTTTGACAGTTTCCAAGACTCTTTTTCCGTCTGGATGTCTGTAGAAAGAAGAAGAAACGTTTTTTGGCGGCTGTCTTTTGGCTGGATGCCTATTGGACAAGAGGCTATTGACTTATAAGAAGAAGAAAAACACGGTGGTCCTTCGACAAGCGTTTTGTTAACTATAGGCAACATTGTTTGACTGTTTGCAAGACTCTTTTTTCATCTGGATGGACCAAAATGTAGAAAGAAGAAGAAACGTTCTACAAGCCGTTTTTGGCGGATGTCTTTTGGCTGGATACCTTTTGGACAAGAGGCTATTAACTTACAAGAAGAAGAAATTTCCTGTTTATACTTGACAAACGTAATTGGCAACATTGTTTAACGTTTCACCAGCCATTTTTGGCAACCATCTTTCATCTGGGTACTTGTAAGACAAGAGGCCATTAGCTATAAAGATTGTAATAAGAAAAAAAAATTGACAGCTGTCACAGAACTATCAGCATTGCCAACCCGATCGACCAACAACCCAACACCCCTCGAAATCGGCTCGTACAACAGGCTCGAGTGACATGAGCCTGACATAAAATTATCGATATTCGCCAAAATATTTTTTTCCTCGTCAACCGAAGAGGCGATTCCCCCGGCAGAAAAAGAAAGAGGTTAGAAAAATGCACGACCGTTGGGAGTCCGCGACGGCGACCAGAAACCGGGCGGAGCGCGCGCGCATGCGCAAACGCCTCGACCATTTGGACAGGCTCAAGTCCAAGGAACTGGAATTGCTCGAGGTCGACAAGAGGCGGCTGCGCAGGCGCTACAATTTGGACGGGGCCCAATCGACGATGGACTCTCCGAGGCAGATCCAGGGCGATTGTAGGTGAGCCGGATTGGTCCAATTTTTCTGGATTAAGGACACTCCCTGGGCGACTAAAGATGTATTGAAGATCAATTGAAATTTTTAGGAGTTCTGGAGATCCGATATTCGGCATCGATTACGATCTGATACGATCGTTGGTGTTCACCAAGGACTCGGTCGACGTGGAGAAATTGCTGGTGATCCATTTGCTCTGCGCCCACAAGTGCGAATGCCTCAAACCCGCCCAACACAAATTGGCCAGCGCCCTCAAAGGCATCGATCCCACCGCCAGGCTCGTCGAAAAATCGCGAAAACCGTCAGTTTCTTCTATTTTTTTCTTCATTTATTCGAGCACAAATAGAACCTATATCTACATAGGTTCATAGGATACAATAGGCTCATAGCTGGAATTACACAGGCTCACAGCTGAAATTACACAGGCCCAAAGTTGGAATTACATAGGCTCACAGCGGGAATTGCACACGCTCACAGGTGGAATTACACAGGCTCAGAACTGGAATTACACAGGCTCATAAAATACAAAGGTTCATAGAATACACAGGTTCACAGCTGGAATTACACAGGCTCAGAGCTAGAATTACACAGGCTCAAAGAGTACACAGAGCTGGAATTACACATGCACTAAGTTGGAATTGCACAGGCTCATAATTAGAAATACGTAGGCTCATAATTACACCCTTCTCAGGCTAATAGTTAAAATTTCAGAGACTCGGTAGTTCGTAGACTCGGGAGGGAAATTACGCAAACGTTTGTGTGAAAACGATTAGGCTCGACGGTAAGGACTATTCGCAGGCTAATATATATCGCAGGCTTGGTCGATTTCAGGTTTTACGTTGACTACAACGTGATGGATTTGCTGCCGTTCTATACGATCGAAATCACCGAGTACACGTCCAACGGCGTCAAATTATCGCAGGCCATCAACAGGGACAACAGGCTCGCCAACAGGATCCTGTTCAACAGGAACCTCAGGAAGATCGTCATTACGGTGTTGAGCACGTTGCAGAAATCGAATTTCATGAAATTCAAGAAACTGATCAAGTTGGTCCAGGATCCGAACGTTATCAGGCACATTCTGAACCAGGACCGGATCAAAGGTTAGTTACCGGCTATATTCTAGGCTTTGCAGGCACTTTTCGACACCTTACGCTTTACATGCCTTCGTCTAGGTTCTTAATCTACATAACAGGACGTTCTCTGAACATTTTAGTCTTTCAATAAGCGCTTCTAAGGATTCGCAGGCTCCTAAACGGGTTCCTAAGGCTTCGCCTGCTCCTACGCCCGGTTTCTAAGGCTTTGCAGGCATCTATAGTGCTTCAGTTTCATACGCATGGCTTCTAAGGCTTCTCATTCTCATACTCCCGGCTTCTAAGGCTTAACAGACTCACACTCCCAGCTTCTAAGGCTTCACAATCTCGTACGCCCGGATTCTAAGGCTCCGCAGGCCCATAAGTGGGCTTCTAAGGCTTCGCAGGCTCCTCGGGCCCGACTTCTAAGGCTTCGCAGGCTCCCGATGCGCGTTTCCCGCGAACCTAGAACCCTCCTTTAAGCCCCCTCTCGTTTTTTTTTTGCTCGTCCAATAGAATTCGTCGAGTCCGTCGGCGATCACGTCATCATGACGTCGATCGGCAACTTCACGTTGACGCCGCCATTCAAATTGAAGACGCGCGACCTGAACGTGCGCACGCCCAACGGCTGGCTGGAGGACGTCGTCAAGCGGCTGAGAGGGCGCGTGCTGCAGATACCGCTGCCCCAGATCGGCCCGTCCCCGCCGCCCCTTCCGCCGCCGCCGCCGGTCTCGAACCTTTCGGGCAATCCGTTCGGCATGAACAACTTCGAACCGTTCAGCGAGGACAGGTGAGCATGGATGATTTTTGAAAAATGGGGGGATTTGGGCGTTTTGGGAGAATGGAAAGGGGGTTTGGGAATTTGAAAAGGGAATTTGGGCGTTTGTAAAGGGGATTTGGGCATTTGAAAAGGGAATTAGGACATTTTAAAAGGGAATTTGGGCATTTGGAAAGGGGATTTGGGTATTTGGGCGATTGGGAAAGGGGTTTTGGGTATTCGGAAAGGAATTTAGGCATTTGGAAAGGGGATTTGAGCGTTTGAAACGGTGATTTGGGCATTTAAAAAAGGGGATTTGGGCTTTTGAAAAGCGGATTTGGGCGTTTAAACATTGAATTTAGGCGTTTGAAAAGGGGATTTGGGCGTTTGGAAAGAATATTTGGGCATTTGGAAAGGGTATTTGGTTGTTTGAAAAGGGTATTTCGTCGTTTGAAAAGGGGATTTGGTCGTTTGAAAAGGGGATTTGGTCGTTTGAAAAGGGTATTTGGTCGTTTGAAAAGGGGATTTGGGCGTTTGAAATGAGGATTTGGCGCTTGAAAAGGGAATTTGGGCATTTGAAAAGTGACATCCCGCAACGCAATTAATTAATTCTATTCGCCCGTGTCAGATACACGACCCCCATTCGGGTGGTATCGTCGAAGATCCGGGCGGAGGAGAGGCGACGCTCCTCCGGGCGGGCGCGCGACGCCCTCGACGACGAGCGTCGGGCGTCCCTTGGGCGTCGCAACACCCCCAATTTCGTCCAGAAGAACATCGAATTGGCCAGCAAGACGAGGCGCATCGACTACGGCGAAGAGCCGGACATGAGGTTGCCCAATAAGAGGCAATCGAAGCGGATCAGCGAACAGGGATTGGTCGCCTTCAAAGCCAAGCAGGAGGAACAAGCCGGTACGACCGGGTACTCTACTTTTAAAAGCGCCTTTAGTACCTACCTGTAGCCTTAGTTTGTTGCAGTAGCTCGGTTGTATTAGCTTAAAGTACTAGATTTAAAGTACTAGTACTACCTCGTAGTACCCAAGTACCAGGTTTTCGTTTTTGTTGTATAGAGGTGGCGCAGTTCCGTAAGAGAATAGAGCCTCGGACGGAGGAACCGCGCGAAGCGGAAACGGAAATGAAGGACGTGTTCCGGAACATCCGCGGTACTCCCAGGACGTCGGTGGATACGGTGAACAACGTGGCGATCGAGAACCACGAGCCGCCGCCGCCGCCGGCGACCGCCGAACGGGCGACCAGGAGCAGCTACGGGAGCGAGGAGCCGCAGCAGCGGCAGTCGCGGCAGTACCAGCGCCGCTTGGAGCACAACCATCCGCTGGGCGGCAAGGACAGGGAGTACAGCATCTATCAGACGACTTGTCCGGCTTGCAAGGAGAGGTGGAAGCAACCGTTGCCCGATCCGAAAACTCCCAGGTACTTTTCGTTGTGCAGTACTAACTTGGTTTTTTTTTCTAAGTACCTACTTAGGTTGTTTGTATGGTGGAGGTGTTTATTTGAGTAATTGAGGAGACGTTATTGATTGGTGTTCTTCGGTAGTACCATTGTCAATCTTTGGTAGTACTTGGTCAAAAAAAAGTACCAAAAAAAACCACTACACACTAACATCAGTACCAAACAACTACAACCCTTACTTGGTACGACCAACAGTACCAAATTCATTTAAAAACAGTACCAAAGATAGTACCAAATTCATTTTCCCACTTTATATCCTATAATGATATAGTAAAGATCCTTTAAAACAGTTTGGTACTGTTTAAAACAGTACCAAAAAACCACTATCCAGTACCACCAGTACCAAAAAACCACTACCCAGTACCACCAGTACCAAACAACCAATCGATTACCAACCCACAACCCTTACTCGGTACGGTCGAAAACATCTCCGACAGTACCAATGACTGTAGTACCAAAAAAAAAAAATCATTTATATCCCGCTTTATATCCGAAGGTTACGGTCTAGTAAAGATCCTTTAAAAACCGACAGCATTCTGCTGATGGACATCATGATAGGCGAGGAGCTGTTCCATCTGAACGCCTACGACAAGAAGTACTTCGACACCACCGGCAGGAAATCCTCGTCGGTGAAGAGACTGAAGGAGGCCGTCGAACGGGCGAACGACGAGTACGTGAGCATCGATCCGGTGCAATTGGCCAAAGTGGAATTGGAGATACAGCACAAGGAGACTGAGAAGAAATTGGAGAAGTTTATGAGGGAGTCTATCAAGCCTGCTTGATTGGACGATGAATTAGAAAGGAAAGGAGTGTTGATATGATGGATGGTGGTTTGCGCTGTATACGTTTAAGGTTAATAAATATATTAGGGGTGGTTTTTGCGTGTGATTTTCGATGGGTTTGGATTGGGGGGTTGTGGAGGAATGTTTTGGGTACCAAATAAAACTAACTGGATGTTTCTATCTTGATTAGTTTTTGAGAAAAATACGATTTTTTGATCGAAATACACGATGACTAAAATTAGTCGTTTTTGGTGGATTCAATAAAAACTCGAAATATCATAAAATTGAGCGGTTTTTGGAAAATTTTTGATGGTTTAAATTAAAAGAGAAATGTTTTGGCTAGAAAATAAAGTTAATTGGAAGTTTCTATCTCGATTAGTTTTCGAGCAAATTGCGATTTTTCATCCGAAATGCCCTAAAATTTGTAGTTTCGGTAGATTCCATAAAAACTCGAAATATTTAGAAAATTGAGTGATTTTCGAAAAATTTCGATTCTTGAAAAGTTACAGAGAAACGTTTTGGCTATAAAATAAAGTTAATTGGAAGTTTCTATCTCGATTAGTTTTCGAGAAAATAACCATTTTTCATCGACATATACTAATATTAGCAGTTTTGGTATAACCCATAAAAATTCGAAATATCTAGAAAATGAGCGATTTTCGAAAATTTCCGATTCTCTAAAAAATGTAGAGAAACCTTTTCTCCATATAACAAACCAACCGGATCATTTTTATCTCGATTAACTTTCGAGATAATCGCGATTTTCCACCCGACCACAAACCTTCTCATACCACCTTAAATCACAAAACAAACACGTCCAAAACCAAACCAATTTTCCATTCCCATGCATCACACCATAATCGACATTTAATAGAAAACCCGCTCGAGTCCTCGACCTTCGAAACACCAACCATTACTCGCCCGATCGCGACATGCACTCACCAATTAACTACCAATTACACACAAATAAAAAAACACAAACACTCACCGAATAAACGAAATACAGATGCAACCGTAAATGCCATTCGCTCGACCATCGCTCGTGGAAATTCACCAAATTACCCGGCAATTTTCGCCCGACCAAAAACCACCTTTGCTCCTCCGCGAACGCGCTAATAAAACCGCTCCCGCCGAGCTCCGGTACTCTCAGTAGAACCTTCGAACAGCACCATGCGAGTACCAGCCCTGTTGTGCGCCTGCCTGGCCTTGGCCCAATGTCGCGTCCTCACCAAATGTAAGTTTCGACTATTTCCCTCCAATTCACCACCAATTCACCACCAATTCACCACCAATTCACCATCAAAACGTTCCTTCGCAGCCGAGCTGTTCGAGCGGATCAAATGCGACAGGACAGATCCGGCCTTCGACGGGTGCCTTTTGGACGCCGTCAGGGCCTCCCTGCCCGATTGGATGGATGGCGTTCCGGACCTGGGGATTCCCCCGCTCGATCCTCTCGTCTTGGACAGCTTCCGGTTCGATCCCGTCGCCAATCCGGCCGTCAATTTCACTCTAAACCTGCGCAACGTCCGAGTGACGGGCCTCAGAGGACTCATCGTCGATGGCTTGAAGTAAGCATTTCGTCTAGTACCTAGTACTACGAGTACTAAGAAGGTAGTAACATGTTTAAGTATTCTCTAAGTGCCGGTGCTACTCTCTAGGTGTATTAGCTTAGGACAAATGTCTCTAAGTACTCTCTAATAGCTTCTATTACTAACATCTGGTATCCCCAATCTAGTACCTAGTACTCCAAGTAACAGTTTAAGTACTCTCTAAGTTCCGGTGCTCCTCTCTAGGTATACTAATAGCATATAGGACTTAAATGTATCTAATCTCAATACTCTCTTATTGCTATAAGATCTGGTATCGAAGTTTAAATGCTCTCTGTAGGTTTAAATGCTGAGATCTCTTGGTACTAACGTTGGTGCATGTTTTGTACAGGGTGGATCCGAATAACATGTCGGGACGGGTTAAAGTGAGGCTGCCTCATATAGAGATGGTGTCCGATTATGATGTGAAGGGACGCTTTGGAATGATGGAAGTGGACGATAGTGGACATTTAGAAGGGGAATTTGGTAAATATAAGTGTTTTTTTAGAGGAATTTTTCGGTATATACTGGATTTTAAAGGGGAATTTTATGGAATTTTTTAGATTTTATCGAGGTATTTTATGTAATTTTTTAGACTACACTGAAGGGGTTTCAAAGGGGAAATTTATGAAATTTTTTAGACTACACTGAAGGGGTTTCAAAGGGGATTTTTATGTAATTTTTTAGACTACGCTGAAGAGGTTTCAAAAGGATTTTTATGGAATTTTTTAGGCTTCAACGAAGTGGTTTTATGGGGGATTTTTAAGTAATTTTTTAGAGCTAACTGAAAGGGTTTTAATGGAGATTTTCATGTAATTTTTTAGACTACACTGAAGGGATTGTAAGGGGGAATTTTATGGAATTTTTAGACTTCAACGAAGGGGTTTTAAAGTTGATTATTATGTAATTTTTTAGACTACATGCAAGGGATTTTAAGGGGGAATTTTATGGAATTTTTAGACTTCAACATAGGGGTTTCAAATTCATCTATCGGATTTTTATGTAATATTTTAGACTACACTGAAGGGGTTTCAAAGGGGAATTTTATGAAATTTTTTAGACTACACTGGAGAGATTTCAAAGGGGATTTTTATTTTTATTTTTTAGACTACACTGAAGGGATTGTAAGGGGGAATTTTATGGAATTTTTAGACTTCAAAGAAGGGGTTTTAAAGTTGATTATTATGTAATTTTTTAGACTACATGCAAGTGATTGTAAGGGGGAATTTTATGGAATTTTTAGACTTCAACATAGGGGTTTCAAATGGGATTTTTATGTAATATTTTAGGCTTCAACGTAGGGGTTTCAAAGTGGATTTTTTAGCCTTTTTTTGCTTCTAGACGACATCAAAATCGCAGCTAAAGGTAACCTAAAACCCTACAAACAAGACGACGGGCGCACATACTTAAAAGTAAACAAACTACGCCTAGACATAACCATGGGCAACGCCAACATGAAAGTAGCATCCAAAAACAAAGACTTTCAAAGCACCAGTAAGTACATACGACCTTCCGATAAACAATTACCCGCCCTTTACTGCTAAGCACCAACAGCCAAATTTTTCCATAACCCGTTTTTTTTTTCTGTTACAGTCGACATGGGCTTGGAGTTGTTCAACCGAAACGCGGCCCAAATGCTGGGAAGGGCCAACGCCATGTTCGGGGAACAAGCTGCGATGTACGCCAAGCGAATGGCCGATGAGGTTTTGAGCAAGCTCCCTCTACCGGACCAAATGCTCTAACTCGTCCCTCTATAACTTGCGGAGACGATGCTCTAACTCTAAGTCTCCAACTCCGAACAGGCCTACTAATAATTTGTTATACGATCGTTGTACCGAGTTAATTACATGCACGTAACGGATATTGAGCAACTTAATTAAACATGTTTTATTTTTCTTTAGCATTAGATAGTCGATAACTGATTGTATGTAATTAAATTAACGTAATTAATCTGATGGAATTCTGTAATAAGCTTGGTTATCGGGTGTAATTAAATTGGTGTCGAAAGCATTTCGAATCGAGAGTGTTGCGTTCGTAAACATTAAAGTGTACTCGATAAATAGTCGCGATGTAATCGAAGGGTGCTATGGGTGGTAATTGGAAATTGTTAATTGATAAAACGACAACAATAACACTAGCTAGATTTGTGTAAAATAAACGTGCAAACGAGTTGTGATGAATTAAATGACCTTTGAAATCGTGTAAATAAGTTTGTTGATAAACGTACTTACCTATTAAGCTGATAAATCCGCAAAAAAACTAGCAAACATTGGAGTGGCACATAACCTAATTTTTGGGCAATCTGCACATTCGAGTCGATTAACACTTAACGACGGTTTCACTTTAACGCGACGATTAATTATTCAATTAAACAACATTCGAGAGTTCGATAAATGTGCATATTTGATAAAAACAATCGATTTTTATCACACAAGGTTATTTATATTTTTAAATCTCGACATGCTGATTTTGACTCAATACTTAATAGTTCGAGACCACTTAACTGTCACTTGTCAGTTGAAATGACAAAAAGTTTTAATTGGGTATTTTTCGACAGAGAAAATGCGTAGGAAGCTAAAATATTACTCCAAATTACCGATTGATTTATCAATTATTAACGAATTACGCAGTAAATAATTTTTGTATATAAAGTGTTGCCTAACTATCAGGTGAGTTGTGTTGAGGAACGTGGCCATTTGTCGTTTCCATGGCAACAGTTGTCTCATGTCAACAAACTAAAATTGAGGTTACACGCTCGAAATATGTGAACGTTTTTCAAAGTAAAAAGGAATAATTCGGCAAAATGAGCGACGAAGTTAGCCAGGAAACCATCAAAAAGACGCAAAAAACGTTGGGCAAGTACGTAAAGAAGCCGCAATTGACGGACAAATTGCTGAAGAAACCGCCGTTCAGATTCCTGCACGACGTCATTCGAACGGTAATCAAAGAAACGGGATTTCTGAGGGGTTTGTACACCGAAGAAGAGCTGGTGTCCGACAACGTCAAGGACAAGGACGCTAAAATCGCCTTTTTGAATAAGCTCATCGAAGCGACCAGTAAGTAACACACAATTCACAATTAACTCTAATCATATTTCATCGATTTTAGAAACCCTGAGCAAGTCCAATTTGTCGGTAAGAGCGACCAAAATCGTCGCCGGATTGGAACCCACCAACACCAATTTATTGCTCCAGGCCGTAGCGAAATCGATCGATTCCAAAGCCGATAGTACCGGCTATGTATCCCAATTGAAATCCAGCCCTAAAGACAAACAGAAAAAAACCAACATACCGACTAAAATCGCCAAGAAACCGACCAAAAACGATGACAAGTCCTCTACCAAGACCCTCGAAACGCCCAAATCCAATCCGGACACTCCCAAACCGAAAGCGAAACCAACGAAGAAAGATACCGATAATAATCAATACACGAAGGGCAGAAGAGCGAGAGAAACAACACCGAAAGAAAACATAATAGAAACTCCTAAAGCAGAAGAATTGGTTAAAAACGAACCAATTCCCAGAAGAGACAGCTTCACGATCGAATCCAAAGACAAAGAACCCATCGAAAACCTTACAAAACCCACTACAGACGATGAACCCGCTAAAGAACCCGAAATCCAGCACCCAGAAACCATCCGAACGCCTCCAGAACCCGCCCCCAAACCCCCAGCGCCCAGACCCACCTCGGCCCGACCGAAGAGCGCCCTCAGAACCTCCGCCAGGCCGGCACCCATCGAAATAACCCAGCAGGCCGAGGAGCCGGTGCGCCCAGCCCGTCCGCGCAGCTCCCTCCGGCCGCCCAGCGTGCGCCCTTCGAGCGCCAGGCCGGGCGCGCCGCGCCTGCTCCGCGCCGATCCGGCGCTGCAGTCGCTCGAGCAGCTCGCCGCCGGCGCCGGCGCCGTCCGCGTCATCGTCGACGACGCCGACGCCGAGGGGGACGAGGAGGAGGTGGTGGTGGCCGTCGAGGCGGCGCCGTTCGAGCCCGAAGCGCCGCCGGACGCCGGCGGTTTGGATAACAAAGGTCACCTGGTCGAGCAGATATTGGAACAGTGCGATGAGGCGGGCGCCAGGCGGCGCACCGAGATCGATTGGGATGACGATGGTAGGTGATGGGGTATGGTGGAGTGGTGTAGAGTAGAGTTAGATTCAGAGTGGAGTTAGATTCAGAGTGGAGTTAGATTCAGAGTAGAGTAGATTCAGAGTAGAGTAGAGTAGAGTAGAGTAGAGTAGAGTAGAGTAGAGTAGAGTAGAGTAGAGTAGATTCAAAGTAGAGTTAGATTCAGAGTAGAATAGGTTCAAAGTAGAGTAGATTCAGAGTAAAGTAGATTCAGAGTAGAGTAGATTCAGAGTAAAGTAGATTCAGAGTAGAGTAGAGTATATTCAAAGTAGAGTTAGATTCAGAGTAGATTAGGAGCAGATTCAGAGGAGAGTAGAGTAGATTCAAAGTAGAGTTAGATTCAGGGTAGAGTTAGATTTAGAATAGAATAGATTCAAAGTAGAGTAGATTCAGAGTAAAGTAGATTCAGAGTAGATTAGAAGCAGATTCAGAGGAGAGTTAGATTCAGGGTAGAGTTAGATTTAGAATAGAATAGATTCAAAGTAGAGTAGATTCAGAGTAAAGTAGATTCAGAGTAGATTAGAAGCAGATTCAGAGGAGAGTTAGATTCAGGGTAGAGTTAGATTCAGAGTAGAATAGATTCAAAGTAGAGTAGATTCAAAGTAGAGTGGGTTCAGAATAGAGTAGAGTAATCCAGGAGAGTTGTTCGTTTCAATAACATTTGTTATAAACTATTAGACACATTTTCCAATACGATATTGTCTTTACGGTTCATAATTTCGTATTTATAACACTCTTATAAATATCAGCGAAAAACAGAACGACTAACAACCACTAAAAACAACTCTTACCAACTCTTACAAAAAGAATAAAATTTCACCGTATATCATTCCACTAAAAGCAACTCTTACAAAAAGAATAAAATTTCACCGTACATCATTCTTTTTCCAACAGTCACCGTCCGATCGAAGGACGGCCCGTCGAAGGACGCCTCGCAGCTGGCGGAGCTCGTGCGATCGGTCACGAAGACGGCGCTGCCGCTGGGGAAGCTGGTCAGCTACGTGCACGAGGACGTCGAATCGATGCAGCTGGAGCTGCAGCTGTGGATCGAGTCGAAGCGGCGGCTCTACGGCGAGATCGCGAGGCGGCGGAGGGCGAGCTCGGAGGCGGACGGGCCGCTGTTGGCCCAATTGGAGGCGCTCGACGGGGACGCGGAGAGGCTGAGGAGGGACATCACGCGGATCGGCGGGAGTATATTGAGGAACGACGCGAGGATTAGGGAGTTGTTGTGTAAATGAATTGCTAGCGGTCGCACGAATTTGTTGTTTAGATTAGTTATTACATGTATGTAGTACATATCTAATTACACGTAGTTAGATATTCTCTGGTTATTATTAAATTGTAGATTGTACTGTTCACGTTGTTTGTGATTGCCTCTCAATAACCGCGTAGGTGGAGGCCATTACTTCACTTGTCATTTCGAAAACTTTTGTGTTAGGTCGATTAGCAGCCAGGGCCTTAAAAAAGAAGAAGAAAACATTTGTGTATCGGCCACGGCAATATATTTCAAAGGTGTGGAATGTATTCTTATACATTATAGAAGGTGTCCCTTTTATTTGAGGACTTTTTTGAGCTACACTTTTGCGGCGAACGATCGGAGGACTAACTTATCTCAGCCAATCAGCGTCGAGCTACATATAAATCGCGGTGGTGTGAAATGACAGTTCGAGCTGTCAAAACTTCAAAAATTATTATTTGACATTTCGAGGAGAAAATGGAGAAATACATGAATCGAAGATACGTGAGGCACGATGTTAACAACAAAATCGTCGCTGATTAAGGTATATTTTGATATTTTGTATCATTTTTAGTTTGAATTAAACCTTTCTTAATGCTAATTCTACATAATTCGTACGCAAAAACCCGGGGTCCTTTACAACATCGCTTCCTAGCGGCCGTTTTAGGAACCCTGTTTTATCCTCAAATAAAGGGACACTTTTTAGTCCCATGTTTCCAGACCATACTTAAAAAAGAAGAAGATAGCATTTGTGTACCGGCAATCAGGATAACATTAAGGAGTTAAAAGTGTTGCCTAACTTATCGATTTAGGAGAAAAATTGTACAATTTCCTCTAAAACGTGACCTAAAATAAATATTATATTGAATGTTCATGCTGTGGAAGTTGTTCATTATATTATTGCCACATGTAATAATATTACATACAAACAAGAGTCACGGGCGGCTTGATTTTGTTGAAATTTATACAGTTTCTAGAAACAGTTCCATGAGTAAAAGTAAAAATTATTCCGCAACTTCTGTTTAATTTTATTTAGTCCGAAGTTTCTACTATTTCCTAATAGATAATTAGGTAGATACTATTAAAAATTAAATAACCGACTCGAAACGGAACGTAACCTTGCACTGTAATCATCGATAACGAACCGCAATTCGATAAAACGTTTGAATGAATTGTGAAAAAGAAAAATTGTTCCTTGACGATTGAGGAAGAATCGTGCAGATTATCAAGTAGGCTATATAAAACATCAACATGGCTGCTAAATTAATCATTTAATCTCTATAAAATGTAATGTATAGATACAGCTCGATTCCAGCTTTAATACTTTTCGAGTTACTAAAAAAAAGGTTTCAAAGAATTACGAAAAAATAAAAAATGGCGGCGCAAGGAAGATCCCAACTACAATCAAGTAGGCTAAATAAAATCGTCAACATGGCGGGTCAAACGTTCAAATTGCGACACAACCGCGATACATCAATCAATTGACATCCGAGTGGCCTTTGTTCGAATTTCTCGCGTATTCCACGACGTGAAATCGTCTATTTCTAGTGGGCGCTGGACGGGAATTCTTTCTGCCCCGCCAGAAGTGGGTCAGTGTGCCATGACACGAAGCGCGTTGCCTGGCAACAGGCGCATTATAGCCCGGCCTATTTTCGGCTTTATTGATCCGGGGCGGTTTTTCTTTCTCCTCGAAGGGTGGCCGAGGGGCGACGCGGGGTGGTTGGGGGGGGTTAAGGGGCGCGTTACACACGCCGTCGAAATGGAACTCGTGACCTTCATTCGCCAAAATGGAGATGTAGTAGATGGATTTTTTTTTGTGTTCCGTGATCGCTTCTCTGCGACGAAGTATTCCGAAGGAAACGAGTTCGATTTTCCGCGCATTTCCACGTTTATACGATAATATTTTTCCCAAAGATTGCCTGCAAATATACAGCGATGGGGGTCAAGGGACGGAGCCCCCCTGCGATCTAAAATCTACTGCAATTATAAATAAAATCGAAAGAGAACGTTTCTCCGCGAGCTGCACGTTAAAAATAACGTTTGACACGAATTTCATAACGAATTTTAATAACTGTAAAGTCGGTCGATAAACTTCCGTGAATTTATATTTACAATTATCTAGCAGGCGAGTTCGGTTGCTTCGATGGCCAAATTTTAATTCGAATAGCCTCCTTAGATGATATATAGCGCCAAATTGCGTCAATATTTATATGTCAAATGTCAAAATAGCGAGCGCCTACTAGATAAAAGCAAAATAAATATATTTTTCAATAACATTTGAAACGGGCACGCCACTGATTCGTAGTTTCTCGTTCGCTCAATAAATAATAAGCGGTTTTCCGGCAAATTCTCGGTAAAAATGATGCAGAAATTTTTACAAGGACACGCCGAATTCCCATTAAAAACTGCCAATTATAGCGCTCCTATTAGAAATGACTGAATAATTCAGTTAGTCATTTTTCCTTTTTTTTCTGCGAATATTACATAAAAATTTATTGATTTTTAATTTTCGGAAAACCTGCGTATACAGTCGCGCGAAAATCTCCGTTTCCCGGAAACCACTCGATCCGGCAACGTCGCGCTTTGTAATTTAAATTATTTAGTCATCGCGGCCGCCTTGATGATATCATCGAAATGGCCAGGTGACGTCATTCGCGCCATGTGCATATTTTTAATTATCGATGTTGCCTTGGAATTATTCGCATTAGATATTTTACGTATATTTTCTACGCATTAGGCACCTGTCATCTGTCAAATTTGACTTAACCAATTTATGTAGTAATTAATTTATTGTAGTTTAAATCCCGACGAGCCGCCCATGATGTTTTTCAAACGGCACGGCCTACTTACCCGTTTTAGAATCGAATGCCGAAATATTTTATTTGCCGCTAAGCCCGACTCTCTCGAGGACTTGCGTAACTTTCTATTTAATAATAAATAATAACGAGTTTGCGTTTATAAGAGAAACGTCACGGACTCCTTCGATTCTTTTTATTTGCCTAACCCAAATGCAAGTTAAATTATAAGATGCCTAAATAATTACGTGTATGTTTATTGGAGTTTCTAATCTCATTTCATTACATTCTACAATAATACTTTTACTTGATTGTTTTGGTGTCGAATTTCAATCTTGACAAGTGACAGTTCCCTAACTATACTAATTATGTAGATATTTATACCTACTTGATTATTTCGCGAATTAAGAAATTCGATAAAAGTGTGACAAGTGACAGTTGTGTTAATAAAATTACCAACTAATTTATTAAGTGTTATACCAGAATTTCGCCTAATACAACGCCTATTTAGTCAATTTACAAACACTAAGGTACAATTTTAACAAACATAAAGCATTATGGTTTAGTTTCGTTAATTTTTCAGCACAATATTCGAGCAAAAGTTGCGGGACAAGGTAACCTTTTTTTTTTCAAGGAAGGTATTCTATTGAGGTAATCGATATATGCATAATTTATCCGAGTTAACCTTGAAACGGATTCCGGTTATTTCAACCACTACATCTACCTATAACATGTTGTTTATATAACATTGGAAATTTACACTGATGGCAGGATTACTATAGGTTTATTAAAGAGTGAAAAAAAAAACAATGAGTTGGCTGTGTATACAGGATATGTATAGCGTAAGATTTTGAGAAGTGACAGTTTTGACAAGTAGCAATTTGGACAAGTGACAGTTGTGAATTTTACGACCTACTAATAGATTTTTTTTGTTCTTCTATTATATAGGGTGTTAATTAATTGAATGCTGATACTTCAGGATGTGAATATTTGATTGATTTTAAGAAGAAAAGTTTATATCAATGTATGTCCTAAACCTCTTAGTTTTCGAGCTACAGGGTGTTAAAATTTTAGGAAAAAAAATAACTTTTCTATCATAATTGTCTTATTACTCCAGTTATTTTTAAGAAATTTTGTGTACACTTTTTAATTATTAAGGGGCATTTTTTGAGACGTAAGATTTTTTTAAATTTTCACCAGTGACGTCCGTACGGGGTTTGAACTGAATATGTTTGAAAAAAAATGGTACACCACTGCTTTTTCCAAAAACTAAAATTATTTTTAAAATCCTCATTTATTTTGTAGCAAATTCGGTCAGAAGACTTATTTTCGTACGACGCACCATTTTCGTGTAAAAAAATAAAAACCAAAACCATTTTTTCCGAAGTTCATTTTGAGACTGCTCTTGATATTTTATTGAAATTTGATAGGCGCCCACCATGCATGGAAACACTTTTTTTGGGGATAAAAATTAATTTTCTACTATTATCAGTGACGTCCACGTCCGAAATTTCATAAAAATGTCTGCCGTAATAAGAAAATTATGATAGAAAAGTTAATTTTTTTCTAAAATTTTCCACCCTGTAGCTCGAAAACTAAGAGGTTTAGGACATACATTGATATAAACTTTTCTTCTTAAAATCATCCAAATATTCACATCCTGAAGTATCGACTTTCAATTAACTAACAATTAACACCCTGTATGATGTTATTTTTATTGAAAAGGGTCCGTTTAATTTCGGAAAATTAGGCGGGTAATTTTATATCTATATTTCGCAATCTCCTGCTCGATGCAGATGTACCTACATCCGAATTTATCGTACTGAATTCATAAATAAAACGCAGCTGCAGGATATATTTTTAACTCCAACAAGGTGTTGTGGAATAAAAATCGATACTTGGAAAATGTGTATCCTAGTTAACGAAAATTGGATAATTTTATACCTATATTTATGAAAGGTTTAATTGAGAAGAACAACAATTGCTGAAATAACTTTTATTTTTGACTATTGACATGTGACGTTTCTAGTAGAGACAATTTTCCGTGTACGACCATGACTAAGTACATTTTTATTTGATCCGTCTGAAAACAAGATATCTAGATAAACAAAGCTCGATTATTTGGGAACATTCTTGGGACACGTGATTGCCAGTCTGGGACGCTCTGACCTTCGATTTTTTTCCACATAAGTCTTTCGAAAGGGAA